ATGTGGGGAGATTTGGGGTGACCTTCAAACAAGTCTGGGTAAGGAACAGGAACAGTGCGGGGATGAGCACACCATGGCCAACCCAGCGCTCAGTGCTACTCTCCATCCCACCCCTGTGAAGATGAGGGCAGGATGGGGCTCAAGCAGGGATACAGCCGTGCACGGGGGGCTGTGGGGAAGAAGCCCCAGCTCCATAGCAACAGGTCCTTGCCACGTAATGGAGTCCCTTTGCTCGGCCTCCGCAGCAGGCAGCCTTATTCGCATGGCCATAAATAATTCAATTTTCTCATTCACACACATGAATGCTGCGGGCCGGGGCTCCGGGTGTGCTCAGCCTCCATCTGTCCAGGGGGGAAGGGGGAGGCAGGGCCTGATAATAGACTCCAGCATTTGTTTAACATGGATGAGTGTGGCCAGATGGCCTGGGGACAGGAGGTGGGGATGGTGAGGTGGGAGGTGAGGGATGCTCCAGGGGTGTTCTCGGCACCCTGAAGCCTCCCTCGGATGAGGAGGGGGACAGGTGTGGGGATGAGCTCTTGTACCTCCAAATCAACTCTGGCAGCTCCAAAACAGCCTTGGAGATGTGGATGTAGGTGAGTGGGTTAGGTGAGATAGGTCAGCCCTTCCTCGCACTGCACCTTTGGTGCCTTCCTGATAGGGAAGACAGAATGGGAGAAGCACTGCGCTGTGCTGAGGATCACCACCATCCCTGGTGACACCCCATCTCAGTGTGGGCTGGGAGCAAGGGAGTCGATCAAAGATTGACATCTTTCATACGGAGATGGTGAAGGGGAAAGGGCAAATAGTGCTGCTGCTCACATCCCAAGGGCAGCAGTCCCAAAACAACCCCAGAGAAAAGGTCCCCAGTGATGGTGAGACACTAAGCTCACTAGTGCAATTAGCAGGCTCCGGGACACCCCCTGGCAGGGGCACAGCGGACCTGGCAGGAGAAAACAAGGGAATTAGCAGGGTTAAGAGGCCACGCTGGAAAAGCCTCTGTGTCGCTGCTGAGAAACCAGTGCCTGCTGTGTGCACAGTCCGAGCGGGGATGCTGGACACTGCCTGGTGGCATCGGTTCCTCCCCTTCTCCCCATGGCTTGGACACAGTCCAGCCCAAAGCGTGACAAGGGTGGGACGAAAGCCACCTTCATCCCCTCTTTGTGTTTGACTGCTCCAGCACACAGTAACAGCCTGAGCCTTGGGTGGGCTTGGAGCCTGATGAGAAAACACAGCCCAGGGAGGAGCCTTGAAGGTGGAATTGGTCACTTCACCTTAACTCTGCCTCTCACAGGGGAAGGATTGGGCTCCTTGCTGCTGGATCGAGGTCCCAACCTCATTCCCCACCTGAACAAACCTCTGTTGGAGACCCTATCCCTGCTTATTACAGCAGCAAGCAGGTGATTAGCCTTGAGCTCAGGCACCGTTTGGAACTGGAGCCTACAAAGCCAGCAAAGGGAACTCGGATGCTGCCAGAAGGAGGGTCAGGAGAAGAGCCCGTGCTCCGGTGGTGTTATCCATCACCAGCACTGGAAGAGTTTTCCCTGAGGGATCAGGGGGAGGTGGAATCGCCTGCCGGGGGGAGCTGGGAGTGTAACCAGCTTGCGCGCTGGTGTTCCCCAGTGCCGCGACGTATTTGGGTACGACACGTGTGTCTGAATGTATATTTGGGTGTCCCCACACACAGGCATCAGTTCCCTTCTGGTTACGTGTTCTCACAGGATTATGAAGCAGCAAAAGGTGCTCAGGCAGACAGCACATCCCTGGACCACCAGGCACAGCCAGCCGCTACTCTACAACTCCTCCTGTGTGTTGTATGTCTCCTGCCTGCTCCGTGTGTCCATGCACATGGACCAGAGCCAGACGCTACACCCCGAGTTTATTCAGCTCGACTTTTAGCCCCACTGGAACAACAGGCAGCCCTCACCTGTGCTCATCTAGGACTAAACTGACTCCTGATTTCTGTGGCTGCTGCTCAAGCAGCCACTGCCCCATACACAGTGCAGGGAGGGGATAGGGATGCCCCCCGCCCCAGCAGGTATCAACCACAGGTCTCCAAGCATCCCCTTGGAAACTGGCCATGGAGCAGCCTCCCCAGAGTCCCCCAAAGCAAGGTGGGTCCAGCCAGGGCTGCCCCATCCCATGCCGGAGCCAGAGCTCCCCATTTTGTCCCCAGTGTCCCCCTATGAGGACAGTGAGGAGGACAAAGACTGAGCATCACAGGGGATTGCAGGCATTCCCCCAGATCTCCCAGGCCATGTGCAGCAAGGTGCGGGTTGTGTCCCTGCACTTCAGCTGCTACCAAGTGGGTAGATGCCAAACCCACCCAGGCAGAGATTTCCACCTATCACACAGTCTGCATTTTGCCTCTTCCACCCCAAAACTGGGCAGCTGCATCCTTGGATCTGCCCAGCTCCTCCAGGATGGACCACACAGTCCCCTTCCCCTCCTGCCCCACATCTTCCTCCTGAAGGGGCAGCCCAGGCTACTAGCCATGAGGTTTACTCTGATTGCCTTGCTCCCACCACAGCCACCCCTGTGGGACCAGTGGCTCTGTAGCTGATGGGAGTTAAGTGGATCCGGATCTTAGGAAGACCCTCAAGGGATGCCCGCTGGGATCCACCAAGGAGTTTGGTGACTTGCTCATTCATTGCTGGATTATATCCTGTGGGAAGGGACATCACCTTCCTCTTGCCGGGATTATGCACACTCCGGTCCCTACACACACATCTCCACCCTGCTCTTCTCCGAGCCTCTCCCAGGTCCCAGATCCCTTTCCGACCCAGCTCCCTGCCTGCACATCCGAGTGACGCCGAGCAGAGGCACTTACCTGCTGCTCATCCCATCGGAGCTGGAAGGACAGTGGGACAAAGCCCTGAGGACCGGGCAGAGATGGTCCTTTTCCCCCATCCAAGATGAGGAGTGCTCCTCACCCCTGCCTCTACCTGCTCCTGCAGCATCACCCATGTCTTCCTGGCATCACCTGTATCCCCTCAGGGCTTGGCCGTGGTGGGTTTCAGATACCGGGCATAGTATCAGCTCTAAGGGTCTCCTTGATGAGGACCACAACAGGGACAAGGAGATGCCCAAGGCTCTTGCCTGGGGGGTGTCATAGAAGATACCCAGTGGTGAGCACCTTCCAAAGTGGTTTAGGAATGCCAGAAGGGATGAAGAACACTGGAGATCCCCCACATCCCGGTGCTACCCCAGGCAGGAGCATCCCAACCCCTTTATGTGAGTAGGGACCTGCCACCCCAGGGGTTTTGTTGTCCTGTCTTCTGGAATGAGCCCCATGTCCTGTTTGGAGGTGTGGGGAAGGTGGCAGCGTCCCAATAGAGGATAGAAGTGACTGGTCCCAGCTGGGGATGCCTCGTATGGGGTTTGGATTATGAGGGGATCCCAATGGGCTGCGGCTCCGAACGCAGCGGCGTTCGGAGCCGCAGCCCATCGGGATCCCCACTGGGATATGGGATACCACGGAGCGCAGCCTTACCTTGGAAAAGCCTCCATAGAGAAGGGATACAGGACTCAGCTTGGGATGCCCGGGTCCCGGGAGAGAGCCGCAGTGATGAAGGCAAGGGGGGATGCAGGGATAGAGTGGGACTGGATGCGATGGTTGTAAGGATGTTGCTCTGGGTCGTCCCTGCTCTCAGGTGAGGAGACAATAGCCGGGGCTCCTGTTGGAGCTGCAGACTGTCTCTTTAAACCCCTCACCAGCCCACAGGTGGCCCTGTCACCATCGTGGTCATCCATGACGTCATCGGAAGGGAGGGAAGGGGAGGAGGAGAAGGATGAAGGAGAAGGGGGGGGGGGGGGGGGGGGGGGGAAGAGGAACGCGATTCCCCTCCACAGCAAAAGTCCCCGAGCGCCCATGGCAACAGATTGCAAATGTCACTGCGCATCAGACGGGCTGCACCCCCCTCCATCATCGGGTAACACGGGAGGGGACACGCGGTGTCACATTATGGTGGGTTACGGTGGGTATAGGGCTGTCACCCCATGGGTGACACGAGGGGGGGGGTGACAAGGCTGTCACCCTGTGATGGGTGTACGGTGGGGTATAGGGCTGGGGGGGCGGGACGACACACACAGGGGTGTCATCCCGTGGTGGTGGGTGCATTGTGGGGGGACAGGGCTGTCACGCCATGCACGGAGCTGGCTGTGGGCTAAGCTTATCGAGCTCTTACCATGGGATAGCTTGGACACCCTGCTGCAGTGGGTGATGCTGTCTCTCTGCCTGTCCCCTGTGCTTAGGGGATCCCCATTATCCAGTAGTGGCACCCCTATGTGAGCAACCCAGGAAGATGGGGCACTCCAGTGAGCCCCCACCTCCTGCCCCTGGAGTTCTGCCTGCACTGTGCAAAGGCCAGGAGAGTTTTGGGAGGTGTTTGAAGCAGATCTTGCCTTCAAGCAGAGAAATGACAAACCCAAGAACAGGAAACCCATGGACTCCAGACCCGCAGACCCCATTCTGATGGTGGTGATCACATTGGAGCCCCTCAGTCCCACTTCAAAAACAGCCTCTGATGCCAGTTAAAACCAGCGCAGGTTTTAAGGACAGGACCTTTTCATCCCATTTATAAAGCCATGTGTATGTGGTTCCCCATCCAAAACTCTGCAAACATGAACAGAGTCACTGCCCAGTCTTGGGGAAGATCTAAATATGGAATTGCATCCTTTTTTTTCCTTGGGAAAATGGGAGACATCCAAGGTCTCCTTCTGTTCCCTTTGCTCTTTTCTCACACCAGCAGGAGTTTCCCCCTCTGAAGTTTGTTGCTACCACTGCTAGGATGCTTCACCCTAAAAACACCCCATGGAAGCAGCCAGTTCCTGCAGAGTGGCCATGGGGATGCACAGGCAGGGCTTGGGGAGGACTCAAGGCTGAAGCCTTCCTCCCCACACTGGGCTCTTGTACATATTTCACCCTCATTTTATTATCTTAAAAGCAACTGGGTTTTATTTTCCCCACCCTTGGCACAGTGGGGAAGTCAACAGCAACCAAGCTCTGTGGCCATGGGAGGGGAATAGTGATGCTCAGGACATGGAGGGTTTTTCTTCCTCCACAAGCATCCCTGCAAGGGGACAATCCAGCTTTTCCCCACAGTGATTTCATGCTGGGGGTTGTATCTGGCTGACGGTGCATCACCCTCCATGTGATCTCCCCAGCACTGTTGTCCTTACACACCCTCTCCAATCCTGGGAAAACAGCCATGGGATCCAGAGCTGGGAGGCTCTTGGGAAACAGCCAAGGAACAGCAGAAGGGTCCTGGCTTCAGGAATGGCAGAAATCCTCCAAACCAGCCTGAATGGGCTGAGATTTATTGTTTTCCTTTTTAACCCACTTTCTGCCTCTGGAATAACGGGCTGGATGTGGATGTGGCACTGGCAGAGGGTGTTGCGGCTCGTGATACCCTCCAGTGCTGAGGCTCATTGTGAAGGCACAGAGCATGCTGCTGCAGTGGAGGTAAGGGACTTCCACCAAAACCAACCCAATGAGACCCAAAGCCATTGACCTGTGAGGCTGGAGGAGCCCAGTAACCCTCATATCCATCCCAGCAACCTCTGGACCAACCCCACTAACCCCTGTGCCAGTGCTCTGGGCTGGGGTTTGCCATCTCCCCCTGGCCTGGGGGTTTGCAAAGGGACACCCCACTGTCCCCTAGCAGACAGTGATGGGGACAGTGATGTGTCCCCCACTGCTGGGCCCCCAAGGGGTGGCACAAAACACTGCAGAGGTGGGAAATAGCAGCTGGTGAAGTATCCCAGGAGCTCTGAGCCTTCAGCATCCACCTCAATGGATGCTCCCCAGGGAGCCAGGACTAACTTCGCCCCCAGCCTCATGCCCACAATGAGCTTTATTGCATGTGATGCAAACCCTGCTAAGGGATGAAACCGCTTCAAGTGAGGGTCCCCGGGCCCCCTCCTCAGCACCGTGGGGGCTGTGGCTGTGGGGATACTCTGGTAATGAAGTTATTAGCTCCGGAAGCGTTAATTGCAGGTGTGTTAATGGCTCTTTTGTCCAGCGAGTTGTCTTTCACTGTGTGTGCGTGCGCCGGGCGGTTGTTTTGCTGCCAGCTGCTGTGTGGTTGGATGCTCTTTGGTATTTAGTTTGATCCTATTAAGGTGGATCTCAATTAATTAGGCAGCAGGCAGAGACAAAGAGAGGCGCTGGGGCCATTCATTTTAGTCTTGTCATCGCGCCTCCTGCCACTGGGAGAGAGGAAATGGATGCAGGGTATGGCTGGTGGGCATGAAAATGTGGGAGATGGGAATGGGGCAGGCAGGTGGGGTGGCAGCCACAAGGATCCCCCAGGGACCCCTTCCTGCTGCATGGAAATGCCAGGCAGGCTGCCTTCCCTATCCCTGCGGAAGGCAGTTGGGGACATCCAAGCCACATCCCCTGGGATATAGGAGTCCTGCTCCACCCCAATACCCTGAATCATCCCATGAAACACATGGAGGATCCCTGGGAATTTCAACAGCTTCGGTGCAGCAGGAGCACCCCTCTCCATCCTGATGCTATTAGTGCTGTGTCCCTGTGGGGCCACCCGCCCCACAGGAAGGAGATGCACCCATCAGGCTCTCTGGCATCCCGGTTTGAGCATCCCACCCCCTGCTCCCTGCTCCCAGCTCCTGCACCCGCTGATGGAATGGCTCCAGGTGCTAGCGTGGCAGCTCAACCCCTGTGAGAGGCCAGCTAATGGATCTCAAGGGCCCCCCTGACATTCCTCCTCCCTTCCCTTTGAAGGACAAAATGCCCCTCGGAGCTGTTCTCGCTGCCGGCTGCTAATGCGGGGGGCGCAAAGGGGGATGCTGCTGAAAGCCTGGGAGAGCAGAAAGCTTTCAAGCTCCTTGGAAAGCCTGAAGGGGTGCCCAGGGGTGACCCCAATCTCTGCCGCTGGTGCTGGGGGCGAGGTGTCGGGGTGCTGATACCCTGGAGTGCTCCAGTGCAGGGATTCGGGGTGCCTGGGGATGGAGAGGTTTGGGATGCTCAAGGCATGGGGGGTGTCAGGGGGCATTGGGGTGTGGGATAGGGGTGAGGGATGGTGCAGGGGGCTTTGGGATGGTTGGATGGGGATTCAGGGAGTACTGGGATGGGGTGGAGGATGGGTGCAGGGTCGGTGACCGGGGTGCAGGGAGAGGGGTGAAGGATGAGTGCAGGGAGTTGATCAGGCTGCTGAGTGGGTGCTGGGTTTCAGGGGGTGCCAGATGGGTGCAGGGTGGGTTCTGGATGAATGCGGGATGGGTGCAGCGTGGGTTCTGGATGGGTGTCCGGGCTCGCCCCGCAGTGTTCCCTCCTTCCCGCTAGGGGGCAGAGGCTCCCCGTTCCGCTGACACTCTGGCCAGCTGCGGCCCGCCTCGCTGTTCCGGAAGCGGAAGTCGGGCGGGTGATCCCCTCTCGCTGCCGTAGTCGTGCGGTGGCGGGAAGATGGCGGCGGCCATGGCGTGAGCGGCGGGACCCAGCGCTGGGCCCGGCGGTGAGCGCGGTGCGGCCTGGCCTTCTGCCGGCCCGGGGACCCCCTCTGCTCTCCCGGCCAGCGGGAGGGCGGCTGGGAGCCCCGAGGGGGTTCCCTGGAGCTCGGGGTCCCCCCAGAGCCGCCGGGACTCGGAGCTCCCTGTGGGCCCCTGGCAAGCAGGCCCGCTCGCCTCCCGGTGCCCTCGCCTGTGCCCCAGCACCCTCCGTGCTCTCCAGGCAGCCCTCTCCCGGTGCCTGTCAGCCAGTAGGTCTGTGGGTTATCCGCGGCTCTCTGGATACCCTCCCCCTTGCCTGCGGGCTCCCTTCATTCCCTTAGTGCTCCCCTGTGCCTGTCCCGTGCATCTGTCCCGTTCCAGTTCCCCCTGTGTTTTGCTCTTCATTAGGCAGGTTTGCAGGTACTATCACCCCTCAGTGCACTGGGGTCACCTCTGTGCTCCTCCCCATTTCCCCTGCCATTGAGGTCTTTTTCCCAGATTCTCCCCTTAGTGTCTTCCTGTTTCATCTCTCCCTTCCCCAAAGTGGGACTGTATCTCTCAGCCAACTCCACTGGGTGCTATAGGGCTTTCCACCAGCCTATCCATGCAAGCAGGTCCCCAGCACCGTGCATTCTACCCCCATTTCTGTGTGGTTCCGCAGCACATGTGTGCTCTCTTCCCTTCAGGGTGAAGATGAAGTAGAGCTCTGACCATGGACCATGATGCCCCCACAATCAGGCCCCGCCGCATCCAGAACCAGAACGTCATCCACCGCCTGGAGCGCCGCCGGATCAGCTCGGGGAAAGCCGGCACCCACTGGCACCAGGTCCGTGTCTTCCACCAGAACGTCTTCCCCAACTTCACCGTGGTCAACGTGGAGAAGCCGCCCTGCTTCTTGCGCAAGTTCTCCCCTGATGGCCGCTACTTCATCGCCTTCTCCTCTGACCAGACCTCTCTGGAGATCTATGAGTATCAGGGCTGCCAGGCAGCAGAAGACCTCCTGCAGGGCTATGAGGGGGAGATCCTGGCCAACGGCAACGACCAAAGATCTGTCAACATCCGCGGGCGGCTCTTCGAGCGCTTCTTTGTCCTGCTCCACATCACCAATGTGGCCTCCAACGGGGAGCACTTGAACCGGGAGTGCAGCTTGTTCACTGACGACTGCCGGTACGTGATCGTGGGCTCTGCCGCGTACCTCCCCGAGGAGCCTCACCCTCCCTTCTTCGAGGTCTACCGCAACAGCGAGTCCGTGACCCCTAATCCCCGCTCCCCCCTGGAGGATTATTCCCTGCATATCATAGACCTCCACACGGGCAGACTTTGTGACACACGGACTTTCAAATGTGACAAAGTCATCCTGTCTCACAACCAGGGGCTGTACCTCTATAAGAACATCTTGGCCATTCTCTCTGTGCAGCAACAGACGATTCATGTCTTTCAAGTCACACCTGAGGGTACGTTCATCGACGTACGGACGATTGGCCGCTTCTGCTACGAGGATGATCTCCTAACGCTGTCTGCGGTGTATCCCGAGGTGCAGCGGGACACTCAGACGGGGATGGCCAACCCCTACAAAGAGCCCTTCATAAACTCTTTGAAGCACAGACTGCTGGTATACCTGTGGAGAAGGGCCGAGCAGGATGGAAGCGCCATAGCAAAAAGAAGGTTCTTCCAGTACTTCGATCAGCTGAGGCAGCTCCGCATGTGGAAGATGCAGCTTTTGGATGAGAACCATCTCTTCATCAAATACACCAGTGAAGATGTGGTCACGCTGCGGGTGACAGACCCTTCCCAGGTACTGCAGCCTCTTCAGGCTGCTTGTTGCTTTGAGCAGCTCAAGTGTGTGCAGTGCTGTGGGTTGTGCTTCATAGCTGAGCGTGTGAGTGTTGTTTAGGCTACTCAGTACTTCATTCTTGTGTGAACATCTGATACCTCTGATACTGAACAACTTTCATAGCTTTTGCTCTCATAATTGCACTGCTTCCTTCTCAACTAAAAATGAGAGAGAAGACATTTGATGTGTCGTGGAGTCCCCTTTCTCCAGGGATTGTTCCCCTTGCTCACAGATGCAGTACAAGCCTCTTCCCCTCCCAGATCCCCAGCTGATTAATTTTTTAGCTGGTGTTTCAGGTAGTACACTTTGGTTGCAGAGGCAGCCTCTCTGTTCTCTCATGTATCTTCAGGCATGTTTTTCAAATAGAATAGTCTTCATTTTTCCCCAGTAGAATTCCCTTTTCTGTTCTGCCTACGCGCTCACTCTTTCAAGCTTCAGTGAGTTAGTATTTATCTCTCCAAATTGGAGTATCAGCTTTTAGATCTATTTAATGTGCCAATTGCTTCTCCTTTCAGCTTAGTACTAAAAAAGTCAAATCAGGGCACATGTAGCTCAGTCAGTGCTGGGTCCCTCCAGACCTTTCACCATGCCCCAGGCTGATCATCTCTTTCACTACTGTTAGAGCTCTGGTCAGGTTTTGAGCTCTGTGAAGCTCAGAAGCATGGTTTATTAGCTTGTTCTGTTCCTTTAATCCACTTGGTTTTGATTCTGTTGAGGGTATTTAGTAAGAATTCATAATAAATCTGCAGTGCTGCATGTAGGTCTGACTGTTCCCAGATGTTTGGTTTTATTTCATACCCTTTTCTCCCTTCCTGTCTTTGCCAGATCCAGGATTTAGCTCCTAGAAGAAACAAACAGTAGTTCTTTGTGTGTTGTCATAATCTCATTCTTCCTGGAAGATAATTGGCTCTCTTTATTTTTCTCTTATGTGGTGTTTGGGAGAGCTGCTTTGGGAGGGAATAGGTTACGGTGTAATCTGTTCAGCTTTACACATTGTGTAAAACTGTGCATCTGCCTCAAAAACATTAAAGCTTTGTGGAAGTGGCCTGCAGCTTTGTGCTCTTTGCTGGTATGTGGAACAGTGCTCCTCACCTGACGTCTGTGGCTGGCTCAGCTCTGCCCTGCACTGTGGTTACCAGGGCTGCTGCGCCCAGTTTGCTGGAGCTCCAGACTCTCTTCACCCAAAGGTTACTTGAAGGTGCAGATTGTGGTTGGTTTGTGGTGTTCTCGGGCAGTGTGTTTTATGCTGGAGGAAGGAACCTCAGTTCTTTCAGGAGATAATTCCAGATGTAGAGCAGGCTCCACAGACCTGCCTGAACGTAGGCTTTGTGTTAGGACATCCTGAACAAAGAAAACCTGGCTCACAATATACCGAAAGCTCCAATTTTTCTTTTGTCTGTCAGAGAAGAACATGAGGTTTCATCCAGTTTCAGGCTCCTCTCTTCTCTCTGGCTTCTCTACCAAGAAGGTTGAAGAAGGTGCTGTTTGTGCTTTATATTGTCAGGGTCTGTATGGAATCCTTCAGGATTGCTTGTGTATGTAGCTTGGGGTTTGGTTGTTCCAGGCTTGTGTTGATAGACTTGGCAGCCTTGCTGTGTAATTTCTGCCACTTGATTTCTGCTGCCTCTGCTGTGATGATGGTTTTTGCCTGTGTTGCAGGTGCTGCTAAAGAGCAGTTGAAGGTAGTTTCTCTGGTCAGGGGCATCCTGCGGATGTGTCTATGTGTTAACCTGGCAAAGGAACTTTTTATTTAAGGTTATCCCTGCAATCTCCAATGATGTAAATAGTTTTTTCTTCTGCTGTCTCCTCTTATTTTGTCTCTTCTGCAGCCCTGTATTTCAGAAGGGCTTTCCTTTCCTCAGGCAGTAGTTGAGTGAGTAACCTCATGTAGAGCTCTTCATTTGGATGTGTGGGGGCTGGATTGTATTAGCACAAGTTATTTTGGGGCTGTAAACCAAACAAACCTTGGGAGATTTGCAGGTGGGAGGGTGGGCAGAGTGCCTGTATCATCCCTGAGCACTTCTTGGGAGCGGAAGGTGAAGCAGTTAGATAATTGTCTTTATTGACAGAAGATTTAACCAGGTATGTGTGCAGGTACCATGGGAATTGGTTACCTTTGAAGTCGGGGCAGGTTCTTGCTTTAGGGTGCTGGGTTGTTAGCACTCGTGTCTCTAATGAATGCTACATTTGATCAAGGATTAAATGTGCCCTGTGCCAATGGGATGGGAACCTTGTCTCCCTTTGATGTACCTTCAGTAATGCAATGTCACCGTCTTCATAGAATCACAGAATAGTTCGGGTTGGAAGGGAAATTAAAAATCTTCAAGTTCCAATCCCTGCTGCTGGCAGGAACACCTTCCACTAGAGCAGGTTGCTCCAAGCCCCTGTGTCCAACCTGGCCTTGGACACTGCCAGGGATAGGGCAGCCACAGCTTCTCTGGGCACCCTGTGCCAGTGCCTCAGCACCCTCCCAGGGAGGAGCTTCTGCCTAAGAGCTCATCTCAGTCTCCCCTCTGTCAGAATCACAGAATCAGAATCACAGAATCACTGGGGTTGGAAGGGACCTCTGGAGATCATCTAGTCCAACCCACTGTCAAGATTCACTTCTTGAAGTATAGTAAGGTGTCATGTCAAGGCTTCTGGGATTCAGAGAAAAATTTCCCCCTATTCCATCTTCCCTATTCGTATGCTTTGTACTAGGGCAGTCAAAAAAGTTATTGTGCTGTGAATTCCCAAAATCCAGCCTAATGTTACAGCTTCTCTTTTTGCAATGTTTAGGCAGATGCCCGTATGAAATCGTGCAACTCTGATGGGATGATGCTGGACAAGGTGCTTTGACATCTAGTCTAGGTCATTCATTGCCTGGAAAGATTGGACGAGATGATCTTTCAGGGCCCTTCCAACCTGCTACTCTATGGTTCTATGACCCTGTGTGTGTAAACTACACCGCCTCTGTGCAGATGCGGTACGCCGAGGGGCAGAGTAGGTGCGATGGCAGTGTAACGTACAGGCAGCGCAATTGGATGACTAAGAAATAACAGAAGGTTAAAGCCATTCCCCTTGTCCTGTCCCTACAGGCCCTTGTAAAAAGATCCTTCTCCAGATTTCTTTTGGGCTCCCATTAGGTACTGGAAGACTGTCATAAGGTGTCCTCGGAGCCTTCTCTTCTCCAGGCTGAACAAGCTCAGCTCTCAGCCTGGCTCCAGAGCAGAGCTGCTCCGGCCCTTGGAGCATCTTCATAGCCTCCTCTGGACTTGCTCCAACATCTCCATGTCCCTCTTGTGTTGGAGTCCCCAGAGCTGGACACAGGACTGCATGGGGGGGTGGATCTCAGAGGGGAGTAGAGGGGAGAAAAACAGCTCCTTTGACCTGTTGCTCATGCTCCTTTTGATGCAGCACAGCACATGCGGGGTTTTGGGGCTGTGAGTGCACATTGCTGGGACATGCAGAGCTTCTCGTCAACCAGCACCCCTTCTCCTCAGGGCTGCTCTCAATCTATTCTCTGCCCAGTCTATTTATGCTTGGGATTGTCCTGACCCAGGTGCAGGACTTTGCCTTGTTGCCATGAAACACTGCCATTGCCAATCTGCAGCATGGTTCCGGAGCCTTCTTGCACAAGAATGTTGTCATTAAAAAGAAGCCATTAATGTCTTTCAGTTTTTAATTTCTGTACTGGCAGAGCATGGAGGTCACAACTCCTTGTGGGCAGTGCTTTAGTGCACAGTACACTAAAAATGCTCATCTCTGTGGGATGGAAATATTAAAAAGAGGAAGAAAATGTATGTCTGAAAAACTAATTTGTGGCCAGCTAGCTCTGGATTTAAGATCATTTTGTCAGCAGGAAAGTTAAATTTGGCACTTTAGAAAGCATTTTGCGTTTGGTGGAGGGCAGAGGAAGAGAAAACAGGAGCATTGACATCCAATTCAAGTTGAAAATTGGAAGTCCATTAAGTTTTCTTCATAAATAATCACAGTTAAAGGTGGATAATTTGGTACCTGTGGAGGCATGGATGAAGGCAGAATGGATTAGTGTGGGGATGTGGGATTCTCCTGCCCTGCAAAGACATTTGGGTAGGGTCTGTGGTGTCAGGTGGGGATAAGGAGGGGACAGCTTCCCCTGGGTAACCTCTGCCTCTCTTCCCAGCCTTCGTTCTTCGTTGTGTACAACATGGTGACCACAGAGGTTATTGCTGTCTTCGAGAACACATCTGACGAGCTGCTGGAGCTGTTTGAGAACTTCTGTGACCTGTTCAGGAACGCCACCCTGCACAGCGAGGCCGTCCAGTTCCCCTGCTCAGCCTCCAGCAACAACTTTGCCAGGCAGATCCAGCGCCGGTGAGCCTATTCGGAGCATGCTTTATCCCACATAGACATGCGCTCAACCCCATCAGCTGAAGGCCAGTATCAAATAACAACAGCAACCCTGAGAAAACCAGTTCCTTTAGTTGCATGGGTGTTGCTTGGACATGGCTCATCTTGCAGCCTTGTGCATCTGGTTTGATATTCCACAGCATCTGTCTCATTGCATTAAGGAGCAAAGCAGCGGCAATCCAGTGCATAGAAGAAGGAAGGGGAGTTTTGAGGGAAAAATATTTCAGGCCCTCCTGGAGCAGTAACTTCTGGAGGTTATTAAAGCCCAGTAGCTTAGGTCCCTGAAGATAAGATTTGTCAAGATGCTAATTGCCAAGTGGCATTCTCTGAATTTAGTGTGTATCAAACTGTTCTGTAGCATTTTCTACAACATCAGCCCACAGGACTGTGGCTCTCATCAAACTGTTAGGAGAAAGGAAGCTCCTCTGATTAGGCCTATTGTGGGAGCTGAGCAAAACATCAAAATAACCTGGATTTCTAGAATGTACTTCAGTTGTCGGATGTGGTTTTAATGAGGCAGAGTGTGTTATTTCTCTTGGAATATATTTTTATGTGACTCAGGGTGTTTTGTTCTTCCAGTGGCTTGTTTCACATCATCCAAAGTACTTGGCAACCACTTCTGGGCACGAAGCTTCTGTTGATTTTAGGTTGACGTCACATAAGTTAGAGGAAGTTGACTGTGTCTGTAACTTTCTAAAGCTGCCTGTCAGGAAATCCATAGTGCTTAGTGGGAGAGGAGAGAATGAGAGAGCCCACTGCAGACACCCAAAGAGCAACTCCTGCCTTCTGTTAAAATAGAGAGGAGAATCTTTTCATCCTCTTAGCTACAAGGGTCTTTAACAGGAGTGCTTATCTTCCACAGCAGAGTATAATAGAGCATAGGCCACAGTGAGGTGGCTTTTGGCTGTGTGTTTCTGGCCAAGTGGAAGTGTTTTACCCTCCTTGATGTATGACATCTGTGCAGCCGATCTGATTGTTCTTGCACATAGAAAGCTCCAATTTTACTTGGAAAGGAAATCCAGCCTCTGTTCATCTCTCCACCAGGAAGAACTTTCAGCTCAGTGGAGTTTCTGAAGAGCTTTAGGTTTCCTCTCAGGGTTCTTCCTCATCTCAGGTTTTTCCCTTTATGCATTTCAGACATAGTGGCTATGTCAACATTAAGGGCTCAACTGTTACTGTGAAACCCTCTGGCTTTTGCTTATGCTGTTTCCAGGCTTCATGGTAGAACTTGGATTGGCTGATAAGCTGCTAATCCATCTCTCTCTGTTTCTGATCCTGTTCATTTCCTGCACTGCAGAGCAGCTGGGGCCAGGCACAGTCTTCTGCTTCTGTCAGTTTGGACTTTCAGAGCAGAAACAGTAATGATGAGAGAGGATAAAAAGGTCACCAGGTCTGTGTGCTTGAATCCCTGTGATACATCTTTGGAAATGAGCTGGTTTAGTTCTTACACTGCTGCTGCTTTTCCTTCCCTATCAGTTTTCCTCCTTGTTTATTTGAGCTGTGCTGTTCACCTGTGGCCTTTGTGAGTAAAACCTGTTCCTTGGCTTGCTCCAGGTTCAAAGACACTATCGTGAATGCCAAGTACGGAGGGCACACGGAGGCCGTTCGGAGGCTGCTGGGCCAGCTCCCCATCAGCGCCCAGTCCTACAGTGGCAGCCCATACCTCGACCTCTCTCTTTTCAGCTATGATGACAAGTGGGTGTCAGTCATGGAGCGGCCCAAGACCTGCGGGGATCACCCTATAAGGTATGTAACAAGTCAAGAGGCTGTGTGTGAGGAGACCAGAGCCAGTAAATCACTGCCATGCAGCATCATATGTGCAGAGAACTGGGTAGACTGAGGCCTTTCTCTCATGACATCCTTTTACCAGAGGGTTTATTTAGCACAAAGCTTGGCCTCTCTCCTTGTGACAACTGTTTTATCCTGTATATGTAGGAGGGCTCTTCAGGTCTTCTCCATGAGCTGCCTTGGGGAAGGGCTGGGTAGTGAAGCCTGAACCTTTTCCATACGAATGCTCTTGTTCCTCCTCCTCTTCTTGCACTCCTGCTGTTGTGTTTGGGCTGCAGTGTGATATATATGGTTCTGGGTGCCTGCTTTCCTGTGCTGGAAGGATCCTTTTTGAGCACGTGGGTTTAGCTGGCAAGGATGATCTGGTTTATCCTGTGAATAAAATAGTAGCTGGGTTAGGTGATTCTCAGAATGCTCATGGTATTGATTTAGCTATTTTCAGACTTGCCTTATTTACAGTTCTCACGCTGGGAGCTGTACTCCTCTTCATACCCCCCTTCTTTGTGTGGTCTGGAGGAAATCTGCTTCCCTACTAGGAGTTTTAGCCAGGTGTAAGACCATTCTGTGCCTCTTACATCTGAGCCTTTGATACAGGAGTAAGCCCGAGCTTGGGCATAAGGAGGTTTGCAATGCTTCTTGTAGAAACGTACTTATTTTCCTTGGCTGCAGCCATGGCTGCAAGTAGTAGTGGTTAAAAACCCAGTATCTCTGGCCTGAGAGGCACAAAGAGGCTGAGTTCCCCAGGCAAGAATAGTCTTTCCACTTATAGTACTGCCAAAGCAAACCTGTGCTCTGAAAACAAGCGAGCCTTCAATGCCCAAGTGCTTTGTTTAGCAGCTGCACACATGGTGGGGGCTCAGGCAGACTGGGGAGCCCATGCTGGCCGGTTTCCCAACTTTACTTTCATCCATGCATTCTCTAACAGCGGTTTCATGTCTCACCTGGCCCTGACTCAGGTGCTGGGGAACCTCTGCTTATTCCTGCACGCTCAGTTCCCAAATTATGTATATTTAATCGCTTTTTCTGCCCGTATGAGTTGGTTTGATCTCATGCTCCCCTGTTATCTGCAGAGAAAAGCCTGCCCTTTTCCCCCTTGTCATGCCTGATGTTGGGAAAACTTGCAGGGCTGCAGTTGTCTGCCAGCGCCAACCTGTGTATGGCTCCAGCAGACAAAAGAGAGCAAAACCGCAGTCGCAGTCGTTTGCTGTGGTTAAGTCTTTGTAGTAAACAAAGCCAAGTGCCACCTTCCCTCCCTCCCCTGAGCAAACTGGCCCTTCAGAGCCAGAGCTTTTAAAGCTCAAAGCTATGCAGAGTCAATTAGGACTTGAATAGAGGCTCTGAGCTGTGGGGCTCCTGGTTTTTGGCAAGTAAGCAGAAGATGAGGCTCTAACCTTAACCATTCAGGAGCTGAAATGATGCCGCTGTGCTTCTCACATGCAAAACAAAGGGATTAATAAAGTAATGCTGCTGCCTGTTGTGGTTTGAGGGCTTGGAAATGAGGGGCCACCGGATTTGTAATGTAAGGCCTGTAATTGTCTGCAGTGGAAAACCCTTCAGCAGCTCAGGGTGTTAGAATCCATGTGCAGTTTCCTGGCACTGTGTACCAGATAAGAAGGCCTCCATACCTTTTACACGTCGGCTTCAGTACCTCTGTGCACTGTAGCACTTTGACCCTTAGTGCCTTTAGTGCCTTTCTGCATCCCTGAAGGTTCAATTCTCAGCTCGGGCTACTTGAGGGACCAGTGGCTGTTTGCTCCTAGGCAAGAAGGGCTTTAGGTTCTCCATCACTGCCATCTTCCAATATCTTTCCAGGAGACTTTAAGAGATATTCAGTGGGCAAAATGATGGCACTTGTGAGGAAGAGGCTCTAACGTAGCCTTGCCTATAGTAGGGGGTCTCTCAAATCCATCTGGATGGTTAATAAGGAGCCATTTAACCAAAAAAAAATCGGTCTGCAGATGAATCCTCCATTTTCATACAGTCTGAAAAGGCTGGTCTTGCTGTTTCTGTTGACATACAATTTTATATTGCAGTGCCTAATTTATCCCCAGAGTGAGAGCCCATGGAAATGGCCTCTGATTGCAGAGCGCTTTTAAAACTACATTTAAAAATACCAAACTGAGGCCATCTTTGAGATTACAGGGAGCTTCATCTCGAGTAGTAAATTGTTGTGAATTGGGGAGAGAGAGGAGCAGACGGGGGACTGTGCTTTATTTAAAGAATGACCCTCTGCATACCCAGCCTTGTGTAGGAGGGAAAGGGCTTTTTGAAAAGCCAAATACCAAGATTGTGACTCTCTTGCTGGGTTCTTGTGTGCAATTTTCAGGCAGGGCTGGCTGGCACTTTGATTCAGAGGAAGGGAGAGGAGAGTGGCCCTCCAGGAAGAACATGAGGTTCTCAATAGGCTCTGTTGTTAAAATGTGGAGTATTTCTGCTTCTGAAACAGCATTGCCTCTATCTGTCATCACCCGTTCTTCCAGGCTGAAAGCCGACTGCATTGTATTGGTGGCGGGGCGGGGGGGGAATGTGCTCTGAGATTAAAAGCATTCTCGGAGTGAAAACCAGACGAAAAATGCAAAATACTCACATGTACTAAGTGATGATAGAAAAGGAGGCAGCTGGGAGGTGAAATTGCAATGCTGGGAGAGCAGAGAAAATGGGTCTAACGTACTGAGACAACTTCAGGCTGAGGACTTGAGTTAGAGCCCAGCTGCGTGGTGAAGGTACCGCATCCGGAAACCTCCATCACCGCATCCGGAAACCTCCATCACCGCATCCGAAACCTCCACCACAGCCTTGGGGAGTGTGGGGTCATCGCAGAGTCCTGTGTTCCCACAGCAACACAGGATCCTGGTGTTACTTGGGCTCATGTCGGTTACACAGAGAAGGCTCAAGAAGCAGAGAGCTTCTCAGACTCACCTGTCTCTTCAGCAGTGTTTGCCTCATCCACTTGGCAGTGTTTGCTGCGTGCTGAAGCTGTGTTCCAGAGCTCTGCTGTTTGGAGACGTAAATGAGCCTGAGCCACTGGCAGGTTTGTGAGTGACAAGGATGCTAGGCTTCCCTTGACCGCTTCCCTTGCTCTGATTGTTGGATGCAATCCACTAGGTGCTTTCTGCCCAGCCTATTTTGTTAATGCTTTTTATTCTTGATGGAAATCTAAAAGGAACTGCAAAACCCTGGCTGAGCTGCACAGTTCATCTTGGCACCCCTGAGCAGAACTGGATCAAGCTGTTCACCTTCCTTGGCTGAAAGGGAGTGTAGCAGCAGCAAAAAGCCTACCTGGCAGCACTGGGAGAGGGAAGGGGTGCCCTTACATTCACAGTGAAGGCTATTACTAAGGGAAGTAAGCTCAGTTCAGTACAGTATATCTGCCTTAAGGATGAAGGGGAGCAGCTTGCACTAAGTGGATGGAGAGCCAGCACAAGTGGGTTCTGGCCCAAGCTTATTCCCTCTTGTGAAGTCAGTTTTGTCCACCAACATGACAGGCACTGATGATACTAAAATGAAATCAGGCTTCTCTAGACAGTGGAAAACTAGCTGCCCTGAGAGGGACTTGCTGGCCAAGAGCCAGACACCCAGCTGAGGACTTCCTGCCCCTGAGGGAGTACCAGAGCTTGAACAAGGTATTTGTCTCTGTGTATGAAGAGCCCAGATGGCAAAGTCAATAGTTGGGAACAGCCATAATTGACTTTCTCTTCCTTTCAGATTTTACGCTCGTGATTCTGGCCTCCTGAAGTTTGAGATCCAGGCGGGTCTCCTGGGGCGCCCCATCAATCACACCGTGCGGCGCCTGGTTGCGTTCACCTTCCACCCCTTCGAGCCCTTCGCCATCTCGGTGCAGCGCACTAACGCTGAGTACGTGGTGAACTTCCACATGAGGCACAGCTGCACGTAGCATGGCTTGGCTGCTCTTCCTGGGGCTGGGGCTCTGCCACAGGCACACCAAAGCCAGGCACTCGCGCCTTCTAGGAAACCAAACCATCGCTCCTGTCAAGCATCCTGACCTGGGAGCTCTGACCGGCCGGCATCTCGCAGGGCTTCATCTGCCCTAACTCAAGTTAGGCATGGGAATGATTCTTCTCACCCTGTTTGTACCATGGAGGTCCCGCTGCATTAAGCACTGCTGCTGTTCCCTGTTCCTGTTGATGAACAAAGTGTAGCTGAGGTTCCTTTCCTGGTTTCCCAGAGATGCATCCGTTTTCTCTCCTGTTGTAGGTCTCAGGATGGCAAAGCTGGAGTTTTGCACTGCATGTGTGGAGTGCTTCCGTCTGCACCGGTGCTTTGCTGCTTTGTTGAGACAAACATCATAGAGGGAATGGATGGGAGCCATGGGGAGGGCTTAGAAATGCAGCTATCCGTGTTTGTGTCTTCAGTATTAGCAGGGAAATGAAATCCTGTTTTCATCCACACAATCCACTTGTGATTTTAATATGCAAGAGATCAGAAAAAAAATGGTGAGAGAAATCACTGCAACCGAGAGACATGAGGTGCGTTCCTGACTCTTATGCAAGTCACTTAATCTTTGTGCCTTAGTATCTGAAAGCTCCTAAGTGAAAAGTGGTGTGTTAATACCATTAAGCCAGGGCAGCTGCCTGTGTCTCTAATGCATGAGGAGGTGGGCACAGAAGGAAGATCAGTGTCTGGGAAGCATGTGGGGAGCAACAGCAGCTCCTTGCTCACATCAGAAGGGCTTTTCTGCAGCATGGGGGTGAATCCTCACAGCCATTTGCTGCTGAGAGCAAGGGAGACCCAGCTGCTGGCACCCTCCTGTGTGATGGAGTACCAGTGTGGAGAATTAGTAGTATTTGGGTTTGCCCAAAAGAGAGAGAGGAAACCTGAATTAATGTGCATTGCTGCAGGTTTGCAGTTAGGAGATGAGCTTGTTGACTTAGGAGATGAGCTTGTTGATTTAGGTTGCTTACCTATCGCTGTCTGATATGCTGTTCTCTGTGAGAACCTGATTTGCTGTTCCCAGGCTTCAAAGCACAGTTGACTGGTGCATCAGTACTGATTGAACCACTGTGGTGTTTATGCTGCTGATAAAATAAGATCCTGGGTATAGTATTACCTGCCAGCGTGGGCTGGTGAGGATGCTGGCCTGACCTTCTCTTTTAAACATGTTTTTAGTTCTAGGCCAACATTTGGGCTTTCCTGCACACAGGCTTGTTTATGGCTTTGTGCTGCCAGGCACTACACCCATCCCTCTGCATCCATCACGAGCCTGTGGTTGTCCCATTCCTATAGGAGGTATAGAGGGGCATTACAAAATTGGTGCTTATACATGGGAGACCCTCCTACTTTAAAGGACCCTTGGGGATGTCTTGTTTGGACCAAACTGAGATGTGGGTGATGTGTTGTGAAGAACAACATTGAAGTCATGCATGCATTTTGCATGGTGCTGCATAGGAAGAGAACCATGTGGGTTGTTGGTGCTTGCTTAGTATCAAGAGTGGACCTTGTAATGGAGGGTGCTCTGGGCTTCCCTGAATCAGCCTTTACTCTATCTCATGGTACTTCTCTCCTCTCCTGGGTTGCTAAACGTATTTCTAGGGTAAGATACTGTATTTCACCGCTCTCTTCCTTGTGTTTGCACTGTTGGTTTCTCAGGTCTGTCAGGAGCAACTTCAGGGCAGAAGCCTGCTAATAGAGGAGGCGTCAGGCCATGTGTGCTTCAGCTCCAGGTTCCTCTCCATCTAATAACACTATTTGCCAAGGTTTAGGTTTTTATCCTGTGATTTGTTCCTCAAACATTTAGTTAAAGCTCCAAGTGGAGAATCATTTGCACATTGTAGATCGTGGATTTACCTCCTCCTGCACCACTCTCTTATTTGTTCACATTTCCAGTATGAAACTTTTTCTTTTCCAAAGCTTTCAGCAGCTCCATCCAAGACTGAGTTTTCTCCTTGGCATCACAGCCTTGGGAAATCAGTGCTTCCTAAAAGAGCTGTCAGATCCCCATTTAGACTTCTATTTGGTGGCAAAAACACAAACCACTTCATTTCTGAAACCAGAGCTTTTGCCAAATTCAGGCTGTCCTGTGTGAAGCAGAGAGCATGGCATGGATTGTGAGATGCTGAGACATAGAGATCTGTTCTTAGCTCAGCTAGTAAATTGTTCTGTGACTGGGGCAAATCTCCTCCTGCTCCAGCTGGTGTTTTCTTCTCTGTAATGAGGCCAAAAAACCATATTTTTCAGCTTTTGTAAAACCACTTTGAGATTCATGGATAAAAAGTGCTGCCTAAGTGCGAAGTATTTTCTTACTCTGTTTGCAGACAAACTGATTGATCATTCTGGGTACTAATTGCCTGGGAGTAGCACAGCAGATCCTCTGGTCTTGGCTGCTGCCTTTTATATCTACCACAGAGTTAATTTTATTACTGAGATGTATTGAACGAAAAGCTTCTCATGCTTGAAATTTGGATTCTTTTATTGAAGAAACAAGAAGCGTGTGTGGTGGGGAGGGTGGGAGCAAAGGGGAGATCTTTTCTACCTGCTATTTTTTTCCTAGGCTAGGATGAAGATTTGTTAGCAACACAAAAGACAGAAATTGAATAAACACAATTTGTTTTAAGAGCCTCATTTATTGTCTTTGTCTTCCAAAATGTTTAATGGTGCAGATGGGAATTCCTTTGCTAAGAAGGAAATTAGCAGAGGTGTGCCTTGGACTACACAGGCATGTCACATGCACCTCTTCCTGGCATTTGGGATACAAGTGTGCTCAAGGATATTCCTGTCTTTGGGAACATTCCTTTGGTTACTGCAGATTTCTCAAGCTCTTGTTTACGTGAGCTAATGCTGCAGGAGGCATTCTTGGCCTTCAGTTATGTTTTCCCTTTGTATATTATTGCTAGCCCAATTTGTATTTACAGACTCTTCCTTTATTCCATTTATAGCATTTGTCTAACCCTGGGGCTGTTTTCTGCTGATGGTTCATGACCAGAAGATGCCAGCTGAACACACCTTGCTCGGCAGAAGAGCCATCATCTCTCCATGGCTTCTAGGTTGGGCTGAGGCACTCAGATTTCCCACTGTGCACTGCTCCCAGCTTTGCAGAACAACATGTGAATGGCACCTTCCCAGTGTCTGGAATCCCTTTTAAGCTGCTCTGTAACAAGCTTGCAGCATCCCTGTTTGTGTTAGTTCCTCTGAACATCCACATCTGGGACAAGAAATCCACTTTATTTTGAGCCCCACCTCCACTTTCATGTGTGCAGAGCTCTGATGCTTTCCTTTGGAGACCTTGAGCATATCAGAAAGCACTTGAGCCTGTGGCTTTTCAGACAGGCACTAAGTGACGAGGTGATGCTTGACTTGGGAGCCATGTTTGACTGGCAGTAGAATCTATCTTTTGTTACTTCTTGTGCTGCCTTTGCTTTTAAAAAGAAGCAGTAAAAGCAGGACACTTGCAATATTTCTTATATAAACTGCATTGGACAGTGAGCTGCAGAAATCCCATTAGACTCAAACCTCTGTATCCTGTAATGGTGTGTCCCTGCTAAAGACTCCTTTCAATTAACCTTCCAGCACTGAGTGACTGGCCCTGATTTAGCTCCTGATGTTCTCAGTGCACCTGTATGACCTTCCTTTTGCTCAGGTGCTGGTGCTTGTTCTGCTTCCCTTGGTCCTTCTGACCCAGCCAGCACAATCAGATTTCTGATGCTTTAAGAAGTCTATTTGTCTGTCTTCTGTCTGTCCCCTGTCTTGCTGCTTTTCTGCCAGCTTTTCCTGCAGGATCTGGGGGCTATGGGCAGAGAGATGGTAAAGGCTGGATGGCAACGGGAAATGTGGCACTCCAGCAGCTTTCATCCTGTGAACCAGGTGGGTGCATGCTGCAGAGCACATTGATGGTTTTGTGGGCAGGCAACAGGACAGGATTTTGTGGGTTTGCTTTTGCCTTGCTTCCCAAGTTTCAGAGCCCTGGTGATCAATGCATCTGAACCCTCGTGCTTCCCTGTCTTGTTACATGGTTGTAAAAGCTTTTCTGGCCAAGCACTCCTCAGCAGAATGGTGAGGTGACTTTGATTTCTTCAACTTTTCCCCTTGCTCCAGGGCTGCAGGACATGGGCTGAGCTGTGCAAGGTCGGTCAGTGTAGCAGTAACAGCCTGGCACTACCTGCCCACCAGGCTGACACCTCATCAGGCAGCAGCATCTCCTGCTCGAGCCATTTGCTGGCAAAGGTCTGATTTGCCTTTGTTTCTCCCAGGGAAGAGCTATAATGACTGTATAAGGAAAGGAGCTCTCAAGAAAACACCTATGTGGGGAAACCCTGAATTGCGCATTCTTCTTCTAATGTTTTGACATAAAAATACCACACTGGTTTTAGACTGGCTTTTTCCCTCACAGAAATCAAATCCTTTCCTAGGGCACCTTTTATCTGTTGCATCTTGCTGCCGGGGTGGATTGATGTGTATTCTTGGATTTGTGAGGGTGCCAAGGGCACTGAAAGGACTGTTTTAAAGGAGCATGGTAGGAGATGCTCAGTGAGTGCCCAGGGCCCTTGGCAGGTTTTAGGGAGGAGGACCACAGAGAGAGGTGCCTTCTGGGGCAGCTTTGCCAGAGGAGCAGCAGCACTACTACATTTGGCCACTGTAGATGAAATTCCTATAAAACTGCAACAAGGCAATGGCAATTTGTGGGTAACACTGCAAAGCCCTCAGTGTTTTCTGCATTCTGCTTTGTCCAGGTTTGAATGGGAGCTTTTGGAGGAGTTTATTTTCTGTGGGTGACAGAACTAGTGTGAATTCAGCCTTCTTAAAGCAAGGAACATGTTACTTATGCTCTCCATGGCTATCCTCCTCTTTCTCCCCAGTGGCTTTGCAACATGCCAGGCATTGGCTTTGCCTGGAGGACTCCCTGAGCCCCTGCTCTTGGCAGTGCACCATCTGCCTCTGAAAGCTGCACTTGCACAGGTTTCTCTTGCCTTCCAGTGTCCTTCCTCCATTTGGGCATGTTGTGATAGCCTTAGGTACGAAGTCAGAGTGGTGCAAGACAGAGGTGGGTGACCCAGCACCTCATGAACAGGACATTAAAGTTATGTTGGATGAGGATTGTGAGGATGCACTAGTGGGGCTGATACCTGACCCTGGGCCTGAGCTCCAGGGGGATGTGTGGGACTGGCTCTGTGATGGGGGTCACAGGGATGAGAGCCAGGTAAGTGCTAGAGCCGTCCAGCTGCTGTTCAACCTGATTTCAGGGTGTTAATGGGAGCAGCGGGCAGTGCTGCATCGCCCCCAGCATTGCTCCCTGCCTCCCAGCCGGTCATTTGATAGCTCCTCCATGCTTCTCAAAGGCGTAAAATGGAGCGATGCTGGATTAGATGTACCTGCTGCCCTTGGAGCGCTCCGGGAGCTTCGGTCCTCGGCCCTCCCGCCTCCGGCCTGCTGGCGCTGTCGCCACGGCAACGGTGAGAAACAGCCATCCGCATGGAAACGGCCTTGCTGAGCCCAGCAACCAATCTGGGGGGATAATGGATCAAATGGTGAGTTAGGAGAGGTGAGGGGCGCTGGCGGGGAGCCCTAGTCTGTGTCACTGTGCTGAGCCCTCATCCTGTGGGCTACTGCAGCATCGGCACCATCCCCATTGCTGGGGTGCCCCTCCTGAAGCATTCTCCCCCTTGCACTGCCAGTGTCTGGCCCTGAAGAATGGTTTTCATTGCTGCTGCCCTATTTTTTTTAGGGCTAAGTCCTGAGGTCAGGGTAAGGTCCTGATAAGGTGTGCTGTTACCTGCAGCAGTGTAGGTAGGTCACTGGTTCAGTCCTGACAGGTGAGTCCTTAATGCTGGTGAAATCCCTCTCTGTAAAGGAGAAGTGGCAGCTGGCAGCCAAACAGGTCTCCTGTAACATAGGGCAGACAAATGTGTGTCGTGCAGCCCATCTGGCTTCAGGCAGCGAAGTCTGAGTTAATCTCTCCCCATCCTGCCTCCTACCTCTTAAACCCTCGGACAATTACTCTGCCCACGCTGGCTCCTTCCCCAGAGAGAGCTCAGATTTGGAGGTGATGTTAGTGCTCTGATAAGGGCTTCAGACCCAGCAGGGTTTGTCCCACTTTTACACTGGCCGTTTTGGTGACAGCGGTACTGCTGTTGGCTGCAGGATTATTAGGGGATGGGATCTCCCCAGCTGGGTGCACTGCTTCCCCTGCAGGGATTTTGGTAAACGGGGTTGTTTTTACAGCCATGTCCAAGGGCAGATTGTTCCAGAGCATCTCCCAGCTGCTTCCCACCTTTACCATTACAGAGAAGCCCAGACAACTGGCTCATCTCAAATAGTATGCATTCCTTGGTCAGGTTGACCCTGGCAACTCAGGAGATTGATAAATTCCTTCTGTGGGTTCAATAGGAACACAATGATAGGCAGCATTCAGGCCTGGGCAAGGGGCTGTGTGAAACCTACCGGTGGAAATTAGGAGAGCAAGTTGTTTGCCTACAGGCTGGTGCATGAAGAAACCAGTCCTGTTTCACCACCTCACCTTGGGACCTGCTGAAGGGGCTGGGGGATGAAACACATGTCTTTATCCTGCCTGGGGCCTCAGGTTCTGTTTATTACCTGGAGTCCTGTGTGTGATGTGAAGCTTGGTCTGCTCCTGCACTGAGGAGCAAGCACAGGGATGAAGGGCCAAAAGCTGCAGTCTCGAGCGGTGTGCCTGGGAGGTACAGCAGCTATCAGTCCCAGCCCTGCCGGCTTAGTTTGGCTTTGCAAAGTGAATTGTTAAGCGTAAAGGCATAGAGAAAGGATTTCAGAGCCAGTTCTGAGGACTGCCATTGCACCTTGAAAAGGCTTTGGAGCAGTTTCTAAATACAGCTTTGGGATGGCCTTTGTGCCTTCTTTACAATAGTGAAGTGAAAGCCTTTAAGAGCAAGTCATGCTGGCAAGGTGCTCCTAAGCAAGGCCACCCTGTGCTTCTGATGTGGGGGTCTGGCTGTGGGAACAGCAAAAAGCAGCACATCTAGCCTGGTTCTGGAGAGCCCTTTCCTGCATGCCTCTCCTCATCTATGCTGACTCTTGGACCACCAGCTGGGAGACTTTAGCCTTATGAAAGTATTTTGGGGGGGGGGGGATATGTTCTATTTTCTCTTCCTGCATTATTTTCCTTCTGTGGTCCCTCTCTTTCCTCATCATCACCTAGCATCCAGCCCCTCCCACCCAACCCTTTCTCCCTCCTGCCTACTTTAGAAGCACAAGCTTTGAAGCCTCTGTTGGGAGCAGCAACAGCTGTCAGGGCTCCGTGGCTGCGGGGAGGTTTGGGTCCCCGGGCACAGCCTCCAGCCCTCCACAGATGGGGCATAGGAAGAGAGTTATGAACTCCTGAGTGATGAAGGGGCCATGACAAGTGCCACTGGCTGGGGAAGCTTGGAAAGCACAGAAGAGGAAGCATGAATCAAACACAAAGGAATAGTGTTGAAGCTTGGCTTCTTCTGCAGCTACCCACCGTGGCCCAGCTTCACCATCATCACGGGAACTTGGATGCTATTAGGCAGTTCATTAGTAAAACCTCTGAGCAGTTCCCACTGCTGTTAAGTACCCATTAATGCCTCTAGAGGGGAGAGGAGAGCACTGGAAAAGCACAAAAACAATCTGAGGGTCCTTGATCTCTTTTTTTGGTCTGAAAGGTTATGGGCTGAGCTTAGAGGGGCAGCTGTGAGGGGAAGAGGGGCCAGGCAAGGACAGTAGGAAGGAAAGCAGCATCCTGATTATCTGCAAAAACATCACCTAACTTGAACTGTTTCTTCTCCAGAGGCTCCTGAGCCTTTAAGAGCTCTATTCACCACCCTGCTTTGTGCACTTCTCCAGCCAGATATCCCTACAGCAGAGGGAACGCTAGCAAGACCTACAGATATCCCCAGCAATGAGGCTGTGGTTAACCACCCCTGCTGCTCCAAGCTATTAGCTGCTCCAGATTATTAGTCGCCCTCCCCTCACTGGCCTGTACATGCAATCAGCTGTTGAAGGACACTGACATCGCTTACTGCTCTAATTGAATCTCAAAGGAATTGAAATTGGTTGTCCAAGTCCTGTTGTTGAAATACTCACATAAGAAATAGTAAATCACCAATTCAGTACATAAAGCTGCAGCTCTGGTAGAAAGTCCTTGTTTCTGGGGTTAGGGAAATAATTCCTCTTTGCAGAATAATGTACTATTAGGGAGAAGGCTGGGGGCTATTTTTCCAAGCTACCAGGTGCTATCCCTGTCCAAGGGTAGGGTAACCGAGTTACACCAACTCCCCAAGATGGAATGGAGCTTATTACAGGATAAACAGACCTGAGGCAGCATTGTACCTGTAAATCAGAAGACTCATTTGTATTTCACCCCCTATATGATGAGAAAGGTCCATGTGGTGTTTTGGAGGTCAAAACCCCAGAAAGAGCAGGGTTGAACCAGTGTGAAGCTTTGCAGTCAGTAGCAGTTTCTGAGCTTGTTTCACAGAAAAAGGCTTATTTGAGGGTAGGGACTCAAAAGTTAGGAGGGAGTGGGGAGAAAACGTCCCAAAGCAAAGGGGAAGCCCAAAGGGAGAAGATGTGACCCTAATGAGGGTTCTCATGCTGTGGCTGTGCTACTGACAAGCGAAGTAGTGCTGCTCAGGCAGAATGTGAGCCAGTCAAAAACAGGATTCCACACAGGCACTAAGAAAAGCAATTGGAACTGGTGAACAGCAGTGGCTGACTAAAACCAGACCCTTCATAAGTTTTATCTCAAGGGTAGGGAAATCATGAAGTGCTGTTGTTGTCTATTCGTCCCCTGCAAGACAAACAATAGAGAATACAGTGTGTGCAGGAAGGAGCGGCATAGAGCTTGTGGAGGGTGGGAGAGCTTGCCTTGAGTGCTGTGCTCTCCCTCTTTCCTGCCCACTGCCCCAGAGGCCCAGGATGTGTTGCAGAATCAACAGCTCAGACTGAGAATTGAGGATTTGGCTTTGGGGGTGCTCCAAGAGGGCAGATAGGTGGGAAGTGTGACTTCTATGGAAAGCTGCACAACTGGAGCACCATGCTGGAGAGCTGAGGATACGGTGCTGGGGACTTGGAAAGCAAATATTGCATGATACTGCACAGACCCAGCCACCGAACCATGCAGAAGTATCAGCCTCTTCTCTCCAGCTCAGAGTGCTGTGTGTCAGAGGAGGAAACGGGAGCTACCAGAACTAGGTAGGGAGATAAAACTTAGCACTGTGTAAGCAGTGCAGTGTATTGGTAGATTTCATGGAATGTTCACAAATACTCAGAAACCAAGAGTGGCCTTTACAAAGGGCACAGCCTTGAGCCTGGATAAGGCAGAGCTTTATCCTCTCTCATTGCTTTCTGACTCTCGAGTCACCCACCTCCTCTTCTCTGAATTTCAGAGACTGCAAATCTCTTCCCAATCTTATTTTTCCATTTGTTCTCTCATCTTTACCTGATGTGGGCACTTCTGCATTGATGCAATGAGCAGCTTGTGGTGGAGACGGGTAGTGTTCGGTTTTCTCAGTGTGTTAGTACATCACTGACAAGCCTGCCAGTGCGCACTGGTGCTCCTCCCTTCCAGGGCTGGCCACTGTGCTTGGCACAGAAGCCTACCCAGCCTTGTTTAAGGCACATCAGTGCTCACATGTGCCCTCCCTATCCAGCTATCTGGGTACTGGGAGGTTTGATCTTTGCAGTTTATAGCTGACCTGAATATCTTCTCCTTTAAAAGAGGAATATGAAGTCACTTTAAGCTCAGCCATATTTCTGGAATGAGGGGGAAGCTTTTAGTGTGTCAAACATCTATGGAAGAGCCTCTCTTCTTTGCTGTCAGATCTGTGACAGCTCAAGGAACTTCCCTTTAAGATAACCTACCCTCTAATCAAATTGAGATAGCAAGAATAAGGTAGGGGATTCACCTGAATCTTGTTTTCTTCTCTTCTGTCAAATGCAACTCAACAGGCTCTTCTAAGCAGGCAGATTTCTTTCAAAACCTGCTGTATGCCATTCAGCCCCATGAAGGAGGTTCACTGACTCGTTGCCATGGTAGCCCTTCTCTAAAGAGGAAGAGAATAGTTAATTATGCAATTTAAGAAGCTAAGGAGGAACGACAGAAAGAGAAATAACAGAAAAGAAGATGCTGGGTTTGTGATAGAACTGCTGCCTTCACCAAAATACACTGTTTACAGCTGAAATGCTTGCCCAGCGTGTGCTGGATGTGGCCAGGGCTTCTCTAGCAGCAGGATTTTGGGGAGATGCCCTTTACCTCTGCTATCCAGGAAAATCAATCCTGTAGTCAGTTACTGCTGTTGCCTTCCCTGCTTAATGCTCCAGAGGGTCTCAGACATATTACCTTGGCAGAAATTCTCTCTGGGTGGAGCTGGGACAGCAATAATACATCACAGCCCCATGACATGCCCATGCTGCCTGTGGCTATAGAGTGGTACAGTTCAACACTTATGTGTTTTAAATCTCCTTTCAGCATTTCATTGTTCCTCAGGCCTGCTTCCCCTCTGCTGGCTTTCCTCAGGACCCCAGAAAACAGAGTTCATGGTGCACAAGGCAGGAGCAAGGAGGCTGTCAGCATCAAAACTGACAAGATCCCAGCCCCTTTAGGACTGGTATTTTCCAGCAGCATTGGCAGCTTGGGTGAAACAAAGCACCACAGCAGCTCTTTTCCAACAGGGGATCCAGACGTGGAGTTGCCTCTTGCATAGCACCCTGACCTCTGCGAGCCAGGGGAAGGGGAAGTGTTACCCCATGCTTTGTTTCCAAATGTGTACAGTAAGAGGGAAGGAAGCTGATGTGACCCCATGCAGTTGTTTACTACACATGATTAGAAGGACATCTACACCTCAAGCTCCCCTTCATCTAACAAGGACAGTAATAGCACAGAGGGTGAGACAAGAGCCACATACGGTGGTAAGAGGAAGAGTGCAGTCGAGAGGCAATAATAATACAGAATACTTCTGGGAACACAGCAGGAATGACTGTCAAAAGACCAACATTTTAATCAACAAACTTTATACACAAGAGGCTTCCCACTAAGGGAGTACACATGTTCCTGCTTTTACCACCTGGGCTTGTAAGGTCCAGGATAGTCTCTCTTCAAGCTTCCCAGAGGGTGGATTCCCAGAATCTATCACAGGAGCAACATTCAGATGCTGTTGCATGAACCAATGTTGGATGCTGTGTGTCTCTTGCGCTCCCCCCTCACATTCTCCTGGCCTTCCGAGGGCGGCAGCCGTTGTGTGGCACTGGGGTGTTGTCAGTGATGGAGATGACCTCCAAACCCCCCATTGTCAACCCCCTGATGGCGGCCTGGAAGAACAAGATAGCACAAGACACGGTGAACAGCAGAGAAGGGAAAAAGCTCAGGGAAAAATAGCTTGATCCCTGTCTGAAAATCAACTTGTTCCAGTGGTTTTACTTTGTAATTATCTTAAACCTAAGTAATTTGTGTCAGAAAACCCAGTTTAAATCTATCTGCTCCTTTCATTGGCATTCCCAGCAATTTTCCTACTTGAAAGAAGTCCCAAATACAGCTTTTGTTCTGCCTCCAAAGTGACAGAACTCTGGAATTCTAAAACTTCATCACTAGGCACTTGAGTGATGAGTTCTTTACATCACCTTCAGAAGAACCAAGTTCACAGGTACAGGCATGAGACCAGCCACAGTTTAAAATCCCTGGATGATGCCTGAGAAAGGAAAATGTATAAAGAAACTGGCACCTACTTTGCGTCCCGGTCCCAGTCCTTTCACCATCACTCGTACGTGCAGCACACCTTTCCCACGGGCTTTCTGCAAGAAGAACTTGTTAGTGTTCTCTGTGATCTAACTACTGCTGCTCTGGCTTCCCTGGGCTCTTCCATTCCTTTCTGACCCACTATCATAGTATTCTTTAAGTAAAGAGTAGGTAGTAGTGGATACAGAAGGCAAATATGGGGATTACTGCACAAAGATGCTAGGAGTAAAGGAACCTGGATATAGCCAGGGCAGCTTCAGAACTGTGCCAGGCTTTCAGGGCTGCATACACAGAAATCAAACTATCTGTGACCTAAAGCCAGGTCAGAAAATCACATATCCATGAATACGTGACTGAACTGGCAAGGGACTAACAAGGCCTAACTTAAAGCTGTTTTCCTTTCTCTAGTGCGGCAACTTCTCTCCTGTGAGCAGTGCATTCCTTCTAGAGGGCAAATGAGAAAAGCAGACAAGCTTTATATTTGCTGTGCAGGAGTCCACACCTTCAGTGCCAAAACGCACACGGGGCTTGCAAATTGAAAATGAGAAATGTGCTGCAAAGCATAGCCGTGCTGCCACCACGTGGAGGCAGCTCCTTTGGATCTCAAGCACTGAGGCGAGGCATGGATGGACCCAGGTTCTGGGGAGGTGGTGGGTGTTCCTGTCCAGGAGGATGAGGGTCACCAGTGCAGACTCACCACTGCTGCTGCCATGGCTGCGGTCTGTGCCGCAATGGCAGTTCCCTTCTTGGCATTCTGGAAGCCTTCTGTGCCACAGGATGTGTGGGCCAATGACATGTTGTCAAAGGTGACCACTTGGACGTGGGTGCTACAGAAAGACAGGGGCAAAAGAAATAAGCTGTAACAAAACTTTATTCTCACTCATCTTACTGGCATAGGCCCTGGGTCCCCTTTCTCCAGGCCACCCTCACTCAGCATTCCCTTTTGAGGTATCCCACCTACATGAACCAACCAGAGACCTCCCAGCATTTGCCTTTCCATCATCCCACAGAATCTGAGCAAGGCGGTACAACCTTCCTGGATAAGGTATACTTTATCCAGGTACACCTCAGACACTGCTTAGCCCTTTCAGACCCACCTCTTGCAACAAGCATTTTACCTCTTCTCGTTATTAAAATAATGCACAAAACATTCCTAGAACTTGAAAGAGAAACAGTAAAATATCACACTATGGATCACTACTGAAACACAACCAATCTCTCATGGAGAATATGTTGCTGTACAGCTGCTGAGAAAACTGCCAGTGCTAGAGCAGGAAGTAACCTGTCATTTAAGCTATCGGCATGTAATTATTCATATCAGAATGTAGTCAAAGTATGTAATAACAGTCTTACTGCCCTTAAAGACACTGTAAGGACAGTTATGCTTCCTGAATAGCACGGGGGTTTGAATTCTTCCTAGTAATGACCACCACTCTGCTGGATTTTTTTCCTTTAAGCCTTTTGGTGAAACACTGACTGACTAAAGCCCAGGTATGTTGTAAGCCTTTGTTTTGCACGCTAGCAGCAGTGCAGCAGCTGATTTGCTTACTTATTGTACGTAGCTTTGATGTGAGCTATCGGGATCTCTTCATAGACCTTTCCATCCCATCTCATGGAGCTCCTCTGCAGGATTAAAGGGCTGAGGAGCAGAACAACAGTTATCAGATACTCACTCTTTGCAAAGTTTTATTTCACATTCATCAGGAGCTGTAGTGACAGAACAAGGGGTAATGGGTCCAAACTGAAAGAGGGGAGATTTAGGCTGGACATAAGGAAGAAATCTTTCACTATGAGGGTGCTGAGGCACTGGCACAGGATGCCCAGAGAAGCTGTGGCTGCCCCATCCCTGGCAGTGCTCAAGACCAGGTCGGATGGGGCTTGGAGCAACCTGGTCTAGTGGAAGGTGTCCCTGCACAGGGCAGGGAGTTGGAACTGGATGATCTTAAAGTACTTTCCAACCCAAACCAGTCTGTAATGGTGTGATTCTGCGACACTGTGCCACTGGGGGAGAAAGAGGTGATCAAGTCTCCAACACACACAAACCGCGTCTGTGACTGAATCAAACCACTCGCTTCCTCAGCTGAGGAAACACCAAAGTCGATAAACGCTCCCATCAAGCTGCAACCGGCGGAACCCTTCCGCTTCACCTCACCTCAGGTCGGCCGCGCTTTGCGTCTCCGCCTCCTTCGAGGCCGCCGCCTCCGCGAGGTCCTGTGGGCCGGTCCGCAGGCCGCGGCACAGGGCGGCAGCGCGGCCCCTGCGGGAAGCAAAGGGCAGTTGGCGGAGAGGACACCGATATCCCCTCACACACCGGGATCCCCTCATACACCGATATCCCCTCACACACCGGGATCCCCTCACACACCGGGACTCCCTCACACACCGATATCCCCTCACACACCGGGATGCCCTCACACACCGGGATCCCCTCACACACAGGGATCCCCTCGCACACAGGGATCCCCTCGCACACCGATATCCCCTCACACACCGGGACCCCCTCACACACCGATATCCCCTCACACACCGGGATCCCCTCACACACCGATATCCCCTCGCACACCGATATCCCCTCGCACACCGGGATCCCCTCACACACCGATATCCCCTCACACACCGATATCCCCTCACACACCGGGATCCCCTCACACACCGGGACCCCCTCACACACACACCGGGTTCCATACCGCCGTCCCCGCTTACCCGCAGGCCGCTCCGCGCAGCCGTTGCCAAGCGACCGCCAGCGCCGCGCTCATGGCGGCTTCCACAGCGCGCCCGGAGAGGTCGCCGCAAAGCACGGCGGGAGCGGGGAGGAAACATGGCGGCGAGCAGCGCGGTGCATTGTGGCCTGCGCCACAGCGCAATGGCAGCGCCCAGGCAGCGGGCGGCGGGCTGGGCACGGGGGGCTTGCACCGCGGCCGCGCCCCGGTCCTGGCGGCTCTTCGGGGCCATGTGCCTGCTGAGGCTGCCCCGCATCACGCAGCCGCTCGAGAAGGAGGAGGAAGAGATGACGGCTCTCATGGGGCAGGTAGAGCGGGGTGTTGGGGCCGTGCAAATGGCTGCTTGGAAGGGGAGCACACGCTGTGGGGCTGGCCAGGGGCCATGGGTTGGGAGGCGATAACAGCGCTGCACGACCAGTCTGGGGCACCTTGGGTGATGTTGTTTCTGACCGTGAAGCCATAGTGAGGACTCTGTGTGAGACTTGGGTATTGTGGGGCTTAATAGTGCTCCCATGTCCTTCCTTGAAGATGTTGATGTCCCTGCTGTGAGCACGGAAATTCCCCTCATCTTTCATTCATTGAGGTAGAACTGGTTTTATTCTATGTGCCGAGTCCAGTCCATAGTGCTGGTGGTTCAAGAGCTCCCTGCATTGCCTTTCTAGATAGAGCTGGAGAAAAGCCACTATTCAGACCATGAAATCCGCAAGCTGGAGGAGGAGGAGCTGATCCGGAGGAGGAAGGAAAGCGCCTACGATGATGAAGTGCCCGGCAAAACGGTCATCATGGCTCGGGACCTGGAGGACAAGTGGGAACAGAAGTTCCTTCGATTCAGAGCTGCTCCACGGATAACAGGTACAGGCTGAAGTTCAGGTGGAGTGAGAACACCCTGATTGTTTGCTGGACACAACTGAGTGCAGCTCAGTAGAGGGAAGGTATTTGCTGAGTCTTTTTGTTTTAAAGAGAGTTGACTCTGTGACAACACTGTTAGCACATGAGGAATTGACTGGCTGACAAGGGAATTGGCGCTCTCATGACGCAAAGATGTTGTTTCCAGACATAGAAATGTTTGGTTTCTTGGTTCACAAGCTCTGCCTAGCTCTCATGTTGAGTTTTGTCAAGGTAGAGGTCCAGGCTTCTTGCTATAAGTTCCTTCTTAAACTGAGTGCAGTCTAACTGTGGGTTCCAGCTGAATCCTGCGATTCTGAAGCATTTCTGTCTAGATCTTGTTCCATGTGTTCCTGTCTGTGTATTATTACTGGGAGGGTGTGAGATGCAGAGGGTTGATCGGGGGATCAGAGCAGTGCTGCTGGGAGACTTTGTTTCCAGCATGTGTTGTTTTTTGGCAGATGCTGATGAAAGCAACAGTCGAACATCACTGAACAGGAAGCTGGACAGAAACCTGATGCTTCTGGTGAAGCAGAAAATCGGCAACCAGGAGCTGTGGCTCCTGCCTCAAGTGGAATGGCAGCCTGGGGAGACGCTGCGAAGCACAGCTGAGCGAGCCATGGCTAACTTCTTAGGTGTGTAATTTGCCCTGTGCCCAGCCCTCCCTCCACTTTGTCCCAGTGGTTTCCTTCTTGTGCCCTGTCTTAGGGATTTTTGCCATCTGCTGTAGTGAAATCACCTCCCATCTGCTGGGAAGAGGTATTTCGCAGCAGAGGGATGGAGCTCAATGGAATGGGTTTGCTGGCAATAGCTGTGATCCTGGCTCTGTAAGTGCTTACTGTCACAGAGCAACCACAGTGTGCAGAGAGCTGATGGGGCTGACAGGATCTCTGCCTGCCACCAGCTGCACTGCTGGGCCTGGTCCTCACTGATGTTGCAGGGGCAGACTGGTGATGCTCTGTGGCTTGCTTCAGGTTTATGGCTTCTCTTTCCCTCTTGTCACCCTGTGGCAGATGAGTGATGGCAAACTCATGTTCTTGCTTTTCCCTGTGGGTTGACAAAGCTCAGTTCCCTCCCTCTGTTACTCTGGGAGGACTTGCTGGACTCCAGACAAGCTTGGTTTTGTCATGAGAAGAGGTTTACAGTTGACTGTTTCTGCTGAGAGGGAGCAGTCAGTCTGAACCAGGCACAGGGAGTGGCTTATGCTGCCTTTTTGTTACTACAGGAGAGCAGTTACTGTTGCTTTGTGTTCTTACCTCTTGTTTTCTTTTTCTTGCATTGCTGGGGTCTTGCAGGAGACCACATTGAAGCCAAAGTCCTGGGGAATGCTCCATACGGGATTTACAAGTATAAATTCCCCAGGGCCATCAGGACTGAAGATAATGTGGGAGCTAAAGTATTCTTCTTCAAAGCCTTCCTCCAGAGCAGTGACTTGTCCCAGACAGAGCTGAAGGGGAATCACCTGTGGGTCACAAAGGATGAGCTGGGAGATTACTTGAAGCCAGAATACCTGAAGAAAGTCAATCGATTCCTTCTGGACTTGTAAGGGATGGGCTGTGCTCCAGCAGATGGGGAGGATGTGGGATGCAACTCCAGGGAGGAGCACAGCTGCTGCTTTGCATGGTCTGTGTGTATGAGATGTTAATGTGGGCTCTGGAGGATAATTTGCCTTTGCCTTATTTGCCACTTCTCTTCACCGGGCCTGTACTGAATAAATATTAAAACTTCTACTTGGAAGTGAAGTTCTCCTGAGGGAATTCTGTGCTCTTGTTGAATCCTCCTCCTCCACTTCTGCTGGAAATGCATGTTGTGATCTTTTCCTCTCCCAAGTGTGTGATTCCCTGGGGCTGTGGTACCCAGGGGGCTTGCTTTCCTCTCTAGGCTTCTGTCATAGTCTCAAACTCAAATGGTTTCTTCTATGCAGTGGCTAATGCTTGTCTCTGGTACCTGATCTTTAAGAGCAGCATTGGGGGTTATCTGTGTGTCCAGGTGGGAACACAAGGCTGAGAAAGGTGGGTTTCTGGGGAGAGATGGAAGCTGGGGTATTCACAGTTTGTTAATGTTTAATCTGTGTTGGAGCTGCCTCTGTCCTAGAGCCCATGATATATGGTGGCTATGGAGCACACAGATGCACAAGGAATAGGCAGCAGCTTTCTTTAGCTGAGTGCTGCTTTCCCACCCACACTGCCCTCCTCTTGAGCCTCAAGTTATAATAACAGACACTGAAGGAGGGTAACACTTGGGCAGCAACATTCTGGGCTGGAAAGGTAGCTTTTCTTGGCTTGGGAAGGCTGCTCTGGCATTTGCTACCTCCTGGGGACAACCCCAAAGGTGGCTCTGGGGAGTTCTTGGCTCCCATTTGTGGTGCATTAGGCCAGCACTGCTAACCCAGGCCAGCTGGGTCTGCCTCAGGTGGCCTTGACACTATTATCCCAATTTCTTTATTAGAAGATCTGTCCTGGGCTTATATGGTGCTGTTTCTTGGAGGGTTTTTCCTGGTTATAAATGTTGCTGTGGGCTCAGGGCTTGCTGGACCTTACAGAGAATCAGTGGCAAGGAAAGAGGGAGGAAATAGCCATCATTAATCACTGGGAGAGAGTTCAGCTTCCAGAGGTGGAACTGGAGATTGCTATATGTATTTTATCAATCCTTTGGGAGCTGTTGAGCTGCAGGCCTCAAAGCTATCCTTAGTCATGCCACAAACCATTGGGGTTGGGGGTAGGACAGCAGCCTTCTATTTTCTAATGCTGGGCATTTTGGGAGGTGCAGGCTTACCATAAATTACCAGCAAAACAAAACTTGGTTTCTTGAAGCACCCTTCCAAGAGGCTGTGTCTGCAACAAAGAGCATTTGAAAAGAGGAAATTAACATGAATATGTGCCTGAAAAACTGCAGATGCTTTGGCTGCTGCCTGAGATCAGCATTGCTGAATGGGATGCTATTGCCTTCTCCAGCACTGAAAGCCCCTGCAGAAGGGAGAGGTGAGTCTTTCTCCTCATCAGCCTAGGGGCCCATGGGTGCAGTCAGCCCTGATTAAGCTTTTCTCTTCCCCTCTGTATCAGGCTGTTGCTGCCTCTGTAGCACACAGCCACTGAGCAGAGCTTTGTGGGCAAAGGCTTAGTGCATCCCCTTTGCCAAGGTCTCTGCCCTGTTTCCCATGCCAAAGGCAGGTTTTGGGTAGCTGGAACAGAACTTTCAAAGCATATAAAATGCTGTTCAATCGTTCTCAAAACCAGGAGCACAGAAGAGAGAAAAGGTTGCAGTGAAAGCTTTCCGATCTTCAAACCCAGGCAGTTCTTGCCCTCTGACTTACTTGAGTGATGAGGCTTTGGGCATTCTCTGTGGTGTGTGAGGCGTAGCTCCCTTCAGCAGTGGGAAGGTCGGAATCAACAGCCTCCACAGCCTTTGTTCTTAACCTGTAGCAGATGTGTGAAAGGCTTGGTCTTTTATGGAAGCTGAAATTGTTTTCTCATCACCTAAAACACAAATTCCTGCTCTCAGCCTGCGTAGGAACAGGCCCTTTTTGAAAAGCCCTTGGCCATTTGCAGCAATCAATCCTAGATCTTGCACCTCAGGTGCTTTTGCTCAGTTCTGTGTGGCCTGTTCCCTCCTCTTTAGCCTGAGAGGGAGAGGATGGTTTGTAGTTGAGTTTGTATTGGTGGTTTGTACTGGGCTGATTATTTTCCTTTGAGAACTTGGTGACTGCAGGCCAAACCTATACCCATACTCCTTGCAGAAGTCTCATCAGGCAGGCTGGTGGGTTATATTTTGCTGGTAATTGCTGGAAGGGTAGCACCTAGTGTTTTCTTCCCGAGTCTGCATGTTGAGGGGAACCTGGAGAGCAGTCAGACTGGGGTGAAGTTTCTGCTCCTCAAAGACTTTCAGCACAGGATACTTCTGTTCATGTGGGTAATACACAAAAGCCAGATCCTTTTTCCCCTCCAAGGGAGAAGGAGGCATATCAAGATGACCTTTCCCTGATGTGATGCAGTCCAGCAGCTATTCCTAAAAGCCTCCAGGAGCAGAAACAAATTGAAGGTGCAGTTGCAGTGTAAGACACCAGCATCTAAGCCATTGCGTTAAGTCACCATGTTAGAAAAGGGAGATGAAGGTTTTCTTTGTGACAAATTGATGCTAGCACAACCCTCCAGTGAAGGAGAGAAAACAAGTCCTGACAAAACCACTTTCCAGCTTCACTGATACAGCTTTCCTCTACTTGCCCTACAAAATACATTCCCTAGCTGATATCCCTCCCTGTCTGGGAGGGTTGGCAATTGGTGCTCCCTAAGCAGAGCCCTGCTAATGTGTTTTGTGATACACTGTGAACTGCTCAGAACTGCATGCTTTCTCACGTGATAGGAAGCTGCTGTTTGCTGCTCCTCCTGGCTGGTTCCAAACAGCCAAAGGCTTTAACATTGGGAAGATAAATATATGCAGAGCCAGGAGAGGCCATTGGAGCCACGGGCTATGCTGCTTCCTGCTCTCTGGAAACTGGGAGGAGGAAAGATGCTGTTGTTCCCAAACACAGCCCTGAGCTTGTTAGAGCAGAGAGCTCTGTTCTGGTGCAGGGAGCACCCAGGGAGGGAAGGAGTTCTGCTGCATGTGGGCTCACTTCCTGTCCTGGAGGATAAGGTGTCTCCAGCAGCATCAGTCACTTTGCTTTTGTTCTGTTCACATTCCCATGCTTGTGTTGGAAGAGATCTGGCTCTTTGGAGGAAGTTTTTCAGGCAGTGACTGGGGTTTCTTGCAAGTGCTGCCTGTTCCTGCTGCTCTCAGCTGCTTGCAGGGGATGCAGCATGGGGAGCATTGCCCATATCAGCCCAGAGACCCACAGCAAATGGTGTGGTTGAGGTCACCAGTGATAGGAGTGGGTTAAGCCTCTTCCTTTTGTTTTGAGGACATCTTTTTCCTCCCTTTTGTGAAAATGCCCCTGTGTTTTGACATGATCAGCGCGTTGGAAGGACACAGGACAGGCAGAAAGGAGCACTTGAGTGAATCTCTGCAAAGGTAAGATGGATATAAAAGAAGGGGTGCTACTGTGAAACTTGAATTCAGGGTAAAACTGCTCCAGAAGCTTTGCTGATCATACCTGATCCTTAACTCCAAGCCCACAAAAAGCAAAGCCAGGAATTTGTGAGAGCAGTACAAAGTGCTGACAGCAGGAAACCGCTTCAGGTAGTTCTAACTACTGCTTTGCTGTTGAGGCTACTTTTCACAAACAGATCTTTTGGGAGGTATAAAATCCTTTGGCAGAACTTCATAGGCAATGCTGGGAGACCCAGGGGCATTCCTCAATTGAAATGTGAAGGATTATTCAGAAACATTAAGATGAATCTTCTTGAAAACATAGGCAATGCAATAAAAATAAAGCCTTTATGCAGTGTACACAGGGCTTTAAGACTTGCCATCACAGCCTCCTCCAGAAACAGGACAGTGTGCTAGCAGGAGCTGGCCTGTTCCCTGGCTTCCATGAACATTCCATCTCATAATGGACTGAGGCAAAAGTTTTGGGAAAGGTTTTACAGCTATCAATGTGCAGCTTAAACTGATCTGTGCTGGAGATGGAGGTGAGAGCTGATGTCTGAGGCAGATCATCTTGTGTCTAAGGGCTGCTGTCCCTCTCAAGCATCAGGGCAGAGGGAAGCTGGGGATGTCGGAGCAAGGCATAGGCCAGTGCTGCTGTTAAGAAGAGGGATGGCAGGGGTGAACGTGTGCTGCTGGCCTGCTCCCACCACGTGCTGCCTGCCTGCTTTGTGCTCTCTTTCAATTATCGAAGTAATTATGCCCATTACATCTCTCCTTTCAGGTTTTACCCTCCCAAATGTTATTCCACAGCATTAAACCTGTGGGGGAAGCAAATTACTGGGGAAAGTAACTAGATATAATCCAGTTTTAATGGGCACATAGAGAAAGCACATGGGGTTGGGAGCATGGCTCAGCCAGCGTCCTCCTTCTGCAGGCAAATAGAAAGTTATCTTGATGTATGTATATATCTAGCTTCGTGATCTGTGAGCTCTTAATAATTGGTTTGGTGACCTGCCGGCAGTGCTCTCTCTCTGTAGAGGTTTCCTCAGTCCCCAGTTAATATAATGGGTCACAAATCCCATTTGCTTTTGAATTCTGAGTTATCCTTTTGTTAATGTCGCCTATTGCTTTTCTGGAAGCACTGGAGGAAATCAGAGCCATGTGCTAATCGGTAAATCTGGTTGTGTGTTTTTGTAAGCTCCTGCTCTACTCTGCCTGCCTTTACCAACTGACCAGGGCAACCCGTTTGTGTCAGACCCAGCACACCCCTCTGCAACACAGCAACTGTTTCCCAAGCAGTGGTACTAGTGAGCAGCACAGGATGGATGAGCTTGAGGAAGGCAGTCAAGTGATAAGGGGTTTGTAGAGGGAGGCTGGGTATCGGGATGTCTGATCCTACCAGTGCCATGTGTGAGGTGCAGTGATCGCTGGAGGTAGCACCCATAGGGACCCAGTTTTCTGCTATGGCTCCTTCAGTGTTCACAGCTCAATGTCCAGCCTTGTCCTCTGTGCAGAGGTAGGGGATGTGGTGCAGGATGGATGTTGCCTGTCCCAGACCCTTCTGGATGTCATATCCCTTGATTTTTCTCTGTCTGGAAAACAGGACTGGGGTGAGCTGTAGCTGTCTTGCCTGCTCTCTCCTGCCTTTGTGGATATCAGAGCCCTTTCAGAGGGGCAAGAAGCTGCCAGATGACCAGCTCCTAAGGCAAGCACAGGTATACATACCCCTATTGAAGGGAGGAAGAGCACCAGCCCCCCCAAATTGCCTGAAGACCTGTAAACTGCTCCACATCACCTGCTGTTGGTGCTAACCCAAAGGCTACAAGTGGCTTGCAGGGACCGTGTTCCTGCTGCAATGGTTGCCCATAGGTTGAACTGGGTGGGAAACTCCAGTAGTGTTTCTAAGTGCCAGAATATGAGTCATGAAGCCAGTGTTTCTAGCTTATTTTTATTTCCTGATTATCTGCAGGGTTTCAGGCTCCTGCACAGCTGACAGAGCCTTACCTTTCGCTCCTTTTCCTCGTGCTTCTATTTGTCTCCCTATTTTTAGCCTGTCTGTGGCATTCTTCACACAATGCCTGTGTGCACTGCTTTGATCAGAGCTGCTGACAATGATGGCAACACGACCTTGAAGGTAACAGCACGCAGTGAAGCAAGATCTGTTGTATTTTGTCTGTATAGTTTGCTGTGGCTGGGCATCGTGTTTGCAACCCAGGCAGGCACACAGCATCACCTCCCCTCTCTCCTTGGATACTTTCCTTGACAGATCCCACCAGGATTTGGGATATTTGACACCAAACCCCTCTCCTTGGCCCACAGTAAGGAGCACAGCGGGGAACTTTCCATCTCTGGGAGCCTGGTATGCAGATGTCTCTGGCTCTACGTTAAGAGCTAAATTCCCCTGAGGATGGAAGTGGATGTCACTTGCTGCCCGTGAAACAGCTCGATGCTAGGCACTAGATGGCAGGCAGTGACTGAGAAATCCCATTCATGCAGCTTTTCTTTCCCTTTCCCTTTAAAGTCACCTCCTGCTCCATCTCTGGCTTGCTCCAGTGTGGGAGCCTGCAGCATGGAGTCAGGATCACTGATTTTTAACTGCTGTGCCCAAGCTTGGTGCCTTGCACGTTGAAGGATCCCAGAGGTTGGCAGAGGGTCATCTTTGGTCCATGGAGGCTTGACAAGTAACAGGAACCTCAAAGGAGTCTCTAGGACAGAGAAAAGAGGCAGGGAGCAGGCAGGCACCGTCTGAGGATTGAGGGTGGGTGGTGCGATGATGAGGGATGCTCAGGGTGCTGTGCAGGGTGATGGGGGTGCAGAAGGAAGGGGTGCTTTGGGAGGTTATCCCTAAAAAGGGGTCATAACAGTGGGTTTACCTAGAAAAGGGTATCTCCCCCCTTATCTCAGTGATGCAGCATGGGCTCCCATGCGCTGTTATGGGATAGGAGTGACAAAATTCCTCCTTTATCCTCCCTTATTGACCAGGGGTCTAAAGTTCAAGGTGTCCTTGGGCCCTGCTACGTGTTGCTCCCACCACTATGAAGCTCAGGGCAAGACAGCCCCTGTGGTGCTGGGTACCTGGTTGTCTTCTTCTCAAGCACTAGTGCAGAGCCACAGCCTCTTTTGCCACACTCTGGGTGTTGTAGGTCCCCTGTAAGCACCTTTCCAACAAAAAGGGGATTATCTATAGCTTGTTAGAGTCCTTGCAGGGAGGGAGAATAAGGCTCTTTGCTCTGAAACGTTCTCTTCCCTGGGATTACAAGATAATGCATATGAAATGACATTAGCTCAGCCAGGTTTATGGATTATTTGAAAATCAAATTCTTTTAATCTCATCCACCATCTGGCACCAACGTAACAGCCAGCAGCCAGCTCACTGCTGCTTCCACCCCGACTGCGCTGGAGCAACTGAAGCATCAGAGACGATGAGAGGACACCGGCATCCCTGGCCACCGCTGCACATCCTGGCACCAGCACTTTATGATTCCCAAGACAGCAAGGAGGTAACATGTCTGAGAGGGTCTCCCTGGTGTGCACTGGGGATGGACAGGCAGGCTGGGAGCATCTCACTGCCTATGCCTGTGTGACCATGAGTCGCAAATCCAGCAGCCAGAAGGGTCCCCAGGTCTTGGATAAAGGTGAAGATCCAGGCAGGGGACTTGCCAATCTCACCAACATGACTTGCAGTGATCTCCTGGCTGGACAGGGAGGGACAAACGCACAGGAGCTCCTTGCAGGATGCTGATGCAGAGCATTTTCCAAGGAGGTTGTGTTTTCCTTTGAACATTAAGGGTGCTGCCAGGGTGCATCTGGGCTCCATGATGAGTAGTACCAGGGAGCCAGTGACAAGTCATGTTGTTTGCAGATGCTGATGTGAGCAGGTACAGTGTCTCCGAGGGGCAGGGCAGAAGAGCATGTCCGGGACACAGCATATGGAGCCTGTGAGCAGGATCACCGTCAGCAGCACCACAGAGGGCAGCCTGGCTCACAGGTCAGGGAGCAGAGAGGGACCACTGTAGGAAGCTGGAGCCACCAGCACTAGGGACATGTGAGTGTGAAAGCAGTATGTGCTGAGCACTGTTGTCCCCACTCTGTAGGTGCAGTTAGCATCCCCCCTGGGGAAGGGACAAGGTCGAGTGGCATCCCATCCTTCTCCCAAGGAAAAGCCAACCCCTCAGCTGATCTTTCAGGTGTGAAGCCAGCTGTGCTACAGAGCTGCTTGGTTCTTGTGGTTTTGGATTCTTTACTGAGCCTCACTAGGATCATCCATCACCTGTCTCCTCCAGAACGCTTCTGCACCTACTACCAAGGAGCACTATAATCTCAGTGCCCTTATAACATGACTAAAAAGCCTTATGGGATAATAGGTCATGGTTATACAATTTAGTTCAAATAGAGAAAGGCCTTTATAGCTATGAATACATGAATACTTAATATATATATATATAACATTGGTTAACATCAGGACTTATAAGCATAATATGTATATAACGCTGGGTTAACAGCCTGTTCCATGCCTCCCTGTACAGAAGGCTGTAGCTGTTCTGCCTGTCAGCTCTATCCCAGTGGCTCTTCTTGGCTGGAGTCACAAATTGCACCATTTTTGCTGAGCTCTAGGTATGGAGAGCAGCTGTTCCAGGCAGGGGGATGCTGAGGAGGGAGGACTGGGTTTGTTCCTTGGAGCAGATTGGGATGCTAGAGGTGAGGATGTGGCACATCTGCCCGCAGGTAAGGAATTGCAGATGGAGCAAGGTGGGGAGCTGATGCTCCATGATTTGATGTACCTGAAGACAGTCACATGCAAGAGGAAAAGAAAACAAGAAGAGAGATGAATAGCTTTAAAGCAAAGAAAGTGTCATTTTTGAGGTAATTAGTTACTAATTATACACACAGAATTGTCTGTCATTAACATTACTTGGGGTTTCAATACGTTGTGGTTTTAATTAAACAAATCCTTAGATATTTTTTCTCCTTCTTTGTAGAAAAAAATCATTTTCTTTTATTGGTGCCAAAGAATAAATTGTGGAATTAGTGACTATTACTTTGTCGCTTATGGAAAGGTTATTTCCAGGTTTTTTGTATGCAGTAGCTAGAGAATGGTTATGAAAGAACCAGTAATGATTGTGAAAGAACCATTTGAAGGCACTGACACAGGGTGCTCAGAGAAGCTGTGGCTGCCCCATCCCTTGCAGTGTTCAAGGCCAGGCTGGACACAGGGGCTTGGAGCAACCTGCTCTAGTGGAAGGTGTCCCTGCCTGGGGCAGGGGCTGGAGCTGGATGAGCTTTAAGGCCCCTTCCAACCCAAACCATTCTGTGATCCTGTGAAATGTTTTTTGATGCCAAGAGTCCCTGGAAGTTGCTGTCTGTGGCTGGGTCTGCTGGTTGAGGTGGGAATTTGGCAGTGCTGGGACACAACTAGCAAGAAGGAGGCAAAAAAACTCTGCCAGGGCTGTCTGGAGGAGGCTGTCAAACACCAGTGGGTATCCTCTTGCTGACTTGCATGCCTGTGAGTAAATGTGCTTCATTTTGATGCAGAAATGCCCGGCAGAAGGCAGCTTTTGACCCTCCAGAAAGGAAGCAGTAGCAAAGCTGTGGCTGCTTCCATGTGCTCCCCCTGGCACAGGTGAGGGAGAAGCCCCAGGATGGTATTTTCAAGCATGCACCATCACAGTCATCATTACAGGGGGCTAAGGGCTGGCAGGGATGACATATCTCCCCTTGCCCCATCATGTGTAGGGTACCCAGCTGATTCCAGGCAGGAAGAAAGGAATTCATATGCATCTAGTGATAGGGTCTTAATAGAGCTGCACTTATTATTTGGAAAAGAAAGAATCAGGATTACAGGCTTATGAGGGATTAGCAAGCATGAATGCATATTTCTGCATGTACTGCTCCTTTTGTAAACCCATTGTGCCATTAGGCCGATATGGAGTTATACCATTACTAGCATGACATCAGTGTATCAGATAGTCTTGATTATAAACCCCAGCAGCTGTACTAAAGAAAACAGTGCTTTCCCACTGGCCTGCTGATCCTCTCTTGTTTGTAGCTTGCTTGGCTGAGAAACAACCTTGATTTTCAGACAGCATCAGTACCACCAGTAGGACAGACACCTTGTGAGCACTGGCCCACCTCCTGGGGCCTGTCAGTGACCAAACTGAGGCTTTAAATGCTTCAGCTGCCTTCTCCTGTGGGGTTTTAAGCATCAGAAGGAAAGCAGATGCATGAGGATGCTCAGGTGTGTGTACACTCAGTTATAGTGGTGGAGAGAGATCTTTGACTGCTCAGAGGAGCTCGGGTCACTCATGGATATATGTATAGAGGCCTTTCAGTGTGTTTGCATTTCTGGGTTTAGCTAAAGTACGAAAAGATCCTCATAATGGTGGGGTATCTGTTGGCTTCAAGTACTGCATGTCCTCAAGGGCAGCATCTGTGAGCTACCTGGAAGTGTTGAATCTATACAAATGTAGGCAGCTTAAAGAGCCTGCTTGTATTTCAAGTCTTGACCCGTGTGGTTCTCTCAATGGCCAACATCGGTAACCTCAGCAATCCAAAGCCCATGGCTGTAGGCTAAGTGGGAAACTGGGATGGAGGAGCAAGGAATTGAGTGCTTGTGAAGCATCAAAGCCTCTGGGTGTGAGTGCAAGTTTTGATTTTTACTAAATATTTTTCACTTTAATTTAAACCACTGTTTGTTTTGTTGGTTTGGTTTTGTTTTTTTTTTTTTTTTCTAGGGAAATGCAATAAGAAGAGCCCATGTGTTTCTAACTAAATGGCAGCCTGTGCTTCGTAAACAACCCGGGTCCAGTTTGGATGGGATCCCTGCATTGATGTTTCTGGAAATCAAATAACAGTCAAGCTAAAGGCAACTTGTTCCTGGAGGTGCCCAGAGCTCTTTGCTGCCAGAGTCAATGGGAACAAGAGCCCTTGGAGCATGTGGATCTGCAGGCAGGCTGTGTGACAGTTCCTGTGCCGACTCCTTTCCCTTCTCTCTGTCAGTTGACTGTCACTGTATAGGACAGCGTTCCAGGAATGATCCCAGCTCCACCTTTGGGCTCCCTTTAGCACTGCTGCTCTCCTGCCTCTTCATTTCCCTTTGGGGTGATATCAGGAAGGAAATGTGGCTTTCCCTGCCTCTGTGATCCACAAATGCATTCACCAGGCACATCCCACCTCCACACAGGGATGCAGAGCATTCCTTCTATGGCAGGTAGAATGGGCAAACTGTTGCTGGATGTTCTGGTAACCTTGGGCAGCTTCTGTTTTGCCCCCTCTTCTTGCTGCAGGTTCCTTCCCCTCCCATTCTCTGATCTCCTCCAACACCACTTGCATTGCTGACGCTGGATGCTTTGGACTTGAACTGGACCAGTTCTCTATTTATCCTGGCCTGGTGCTTTTAATGCTTAATCCCTTTTGAGTGTGAGATTGGAATATTTGAAAATGGTGGCTACTTTTTTCCCCCCTCTCCATCGAAGTGGTTTTTTTCTTTTTCTAACTGATTTTTTTTTTTTTTTTATCCATGTTTAAGATTTTTGGGCCATAATTTCTTTTTGTGCTGTAAGTGTTCTGACAAACCTGACCCTCTGTTGCAAAGCTGTTCTGCACCAATGAACCAGGCAGGTCAAGCAATCTTCCTCTCTGCTTCCTTCCCCTGAAGTAAAAAAATGACTCTACAACCACAAACCTGGTGCATAAAACCTGATGCACGCAAGAGACCCTACAATAACATACCCAACCTGCACATATCCCGCTGCCGATGAGCATTGACATGGTTTCAAATGTACTGATGCTCCTGTGGATGTGTCCTTTCGGAGGGCATCAGCGTCAGGAGTCCTTTAGCTGTGAAACCAGGAGGATGACTCATGAACCACACAGACGCAAGCAGTGTCAGTGCCTCGATGGTCCATCAGGTTTCTGACCTGCGTCAGCAAAACTGTGGGTGAAGAAGGAAATGGGAATGACAACCCAACTTGGGTGTGTGTGTGGGGGGGAGAGGGCTGTGATATGGAAAATAAAGCTCCCTCTGAGCCTGTGCCCCCACAATTTACCACATGTAGAGGGGAGACCCAGCTCCATGCACCTTCAGGCATGGACTGTTACTGTCATTTACAGGTATTGGAGATGCTGGCTCTTGATGTGCTCTCCAGTGCTCTCCAACTTTCTCCTCTGCCAATAGCCTGAGAGCATCTTCCCTGCCTCTCCCTGCAGAGGCTTTTGGGGGGCTGATTCTTGTGGGTTGGCACCTCTGTCCTCCTGAGTTTGCCATGAATGTTGCTTCTGTTGGTGCAAGAAACCCTCCTTAGGTCAAAGCCAGAAGTGCATTAACAGTCCTGAAGCAGAGAAAGCCATTCTCACCATGGGGGGCTGCCCCATGTGTGCTGTGACACCTCTGTGAGCTGCCCATAGCTGCAGGGACAGGAGATACTGAGATGCCAAGAGGCAACCTCAGCTATCAGCTCTACCAGTCCCCTGCAGGCACCTCTGCTTCCAGTCCAGCCCAGCCCACCCTACCCTCTTTGGCAAGCAAAGCAGTCAGCATCAGCAGCCTCAGCTCCCACCTTGGTACCTGCATCCTTCAAGCCTCCCTCCATCCCTTACTCCATCACCCCCCAAAGCAGCCTGAAAGCTTGTGGGCTGTATCCTCCCTAAACACTCAGAGATCAACAGTGCTGCCCCAAGAGCAAATCCAATACCACAAGCAAGACCTGTCCCAGCAGGCAAGCAAGTAATGAACTAGAGCTGGGCTGTAATGATCTTTATAAGGATGGTTTTTAAGGCTGGCTATGGAGGCCCCAGCTAGATGATAAAAAGGGTTTCATTGTTCCTAGGGCATGAATACAAGAGAGCACTCTGCATCTATTTACCGTGCAGAAGGGTCAGAAATGGCTCTTCTCCCCCCTGGGTCCCTGCAGCTCCTCTGGCAGAATTAAAAGACACACGTGGAGGGTGAAGAAGAGAGGGAACAGAAGAGAAGAGCCCTTCGTTTCATCCCACCTGCTCTGTGATGGTGACTTGCCCTGAAGAGTCTCAGGAAAATCCTGTGTAAATGGAACATAAATGTTTTATGAATTCAGCCCTGGTGGAGTAAATTAAAGGGTCATTAATGGCCTCATTAAAGAGATTTGCACTTTGTTCTGAATTATGAAAGCTATCATGCAATGTTAAACTAAATAGAGTTTTCGGCGAGGTTTTAAACCTCTCTAACTAGTTCCTTTTCCCCCTTCTGTCTCCATTATTTTCTCCCCTTATTTTTTCCTCTGGTCTCTGAGAAACTGGCTTTCGAGGGAACTGCCTGTAGTGCTGCAAACTGGATTTCAGTTATAAATCTTCTTCTGCTCCACTAATTGCCCAGAGTTTTTCTCGAGAGCTGCCTGAGGTTAATGCTGGGGAAGAAAGAGCCCTTTTGTCTCTTGAAATGGTGTCTCCATCCCCCCCATCCCTGATGGGACATCAAGCAGGGAATTACCTATAGCAACACCCAAATAGGACAAGGAGAGCTAGCTATGGGAAGCAGGGTGAGTTTGTTGTGTGTTTGCCTTGGCTTGCTGGGGTGAAGCCTTTGGCTCCTCTGGCATCTCCTGGTGTGGACCTCAGCAGCATTCCCTGGCTCTGGGCCCAGCACTGACCCTTTCCTTGCTGGGAAATCAGCCAGTGCTCAATGGGATCAAGGAGGCTTACGTGGGAAACCCAGCTACCATGGGCTTGGTAAAGCCATGCATTAAATTGAGCAGAGCTATGTGATGTGATCCAGAGTCCTCAACAGGGCTGCACTGTGGTGCCTTGTGGGGAAGAGGGATGGAGAGGGAGGTGATGAGCTCCTGGTGCAGTCTGCATTCAGCTTTTCCCACCAGACCTTTGTGTTCTAACAGGCTGAAACAGCCTGTGCCAAAAGCTAGATCAGGTCCCTCATTTCCAGCTTGTTTTGGATCAGACAGGAGCTTGCTGACAGAGCTTTGCTGACCAAAGCGACTGGGTGTTGAGGGATCAGGTCCTGCTGTGACAGCCAGGACAGGGGTGCAGAAGATCTGGGTATACAGGCTCAGTGCACTTGGACATAAAGACTTTGAAACCCATAATCAGGAGCAGCATCTTCATACATTGAGTGTATGGGAATAAAAGCTGCGCTGTGGTCACCTCCCTGCCTTATCCCAGTGCTGGGAGGATACTGGGAGCTGCACATCTACAGAAAAGGGGAATTGCTGTATCTGGGGCCAGCAGCATCTTCCTGCCCTGTTAAAGTGGGCAAAAATTGTTCATCACAACAAAAAACACTGATTTACCCCATCATTTTACCACCAAGAGAAGCTCCTTAGGCCTGACTAGAAATCCTTATTGAGGCTGGAGGCTGGTCTCCCTGTGGGACATGGCCAGTCACGGTGGGGCACCTTCCCCTCGCCAGCTTACCTCTGAGGCTCATTGCTTTGACTTATTGACTTAGCTCGCCCTCTGCAAGTTCTTCACACAGCTCTACAACAAATTAAACCCCTTATTAACTAATTAAGCTATTTCTCCAACCAGGCAGCCAAAGGAGAAGAGGTTGTTGTTATTTCTATTTTTAAACACCCATGAGAGGCAGACGTGCTTGGACAGAGCCTGAGGCACCAGTGGTGGACAGGGCCAGCCAAGAGCCCCACTGCAGCCTGGCAGCTTTAGCAACAAAACCCCCAAGGGGCTGGAACGTGCTGCTTTTAGCTGTTGAGTTTTCCACATCTGGGACTGATTTTGGGCATGAAGATGCCAGCCTCTGGGTGACGCAGGCAGCGATGGGGCTGTGTGGGTTACCCGAGGGAGGGATGCTGAGCACAGTGTGCAGCTCCAGTGAGGAGGACACAGCAGCCCATGGGATCCCACCACCTCCAACAGCGAGTGCAAACAGAGCAGTGGGGTTTACCCCCCCCCGGTATGTGCATCTCAAGGCTGCTGTCCCACACATCCCCCTTAGGCTGTGACTGGAGCCAGATTTCCCCAGTGCACAGCTCCCCTGAGCCAGCATCATTCTCATTGTCTGCAGGGACAACTCCCACAGTTTTTGGGGGGGACACCAAAAGTCACCCCGTTGGAGCCATCAGTGGGGCCGGTCCAGCCCTGGGGCACCCCACAGTGACTCTACTGGCCATCAGCCTCCCCATAGGAACCGCAGCCAAGGGCTTCTCTGCTGCACAGGGCTCCAGCAGCAGATCCAGGTTATTGAGGCTTGCCGGATGCTCTTTAGGAGCATCCCAGCTGGCTCCTGGCAGCCTGTGCTGCAGCACTTCACTGCTGAGAGACTCTGTCTGCCTCGCGGCTCCTTCCCTCTGAGGTGGGAAGGGAACACTGCGGATGCTCCTGCTGCGCATCGTGCGGGAAGGGATGGGGATTCTGCAAGAGCTCTGCTCAGAAACGCTGCTGCTTTCTGGCAGGCTCTGGCCTCCTTCCCTGCACCAAGGCATCAGGCACTGGGACGGGGAGATGGCCAGGGGCTGGGGCCAGATGGTTTCTGCAGGTGAAACTGCTGATGTGAGGGCTTTATGAATCTGGAGAGACCACAACTGCTTCATGTCCAGCTTGATGTGGGCTTGTTAAGTGGGGTGTTTGCCCTGGTGGGTGGGAAACTGGCCATGTCCTGGGTATAAAAGGGTCTGGGGTGGGTGGTTTGGGCTGTGTTTGCTCTGTTTCTTTCTTCTTGGTTGAGCTGTGTAGCTTTTTTTCTCTTAGGGCTCTGCTTTTTCTTCTGTTTTTCCTCTTTTCCTAAGTGACTCCTTGCAGGATGTGCTCCAGGGCTGACCTGCTCTCTGTCTGCTGCGGCGGCCTCCTTGCTGGAGGCTGCTCTTGGTGCCTTCAGCAAACCCCATCCCAGCCAGGTAGCTCTTTGCAAGCTTTCCTTTAGCACTGTTTGCTGTTGAGGGGGGGCTCTCCCAGCACCTCTAACCTCAGCAGGGGGTAAGGTCAGGGGGTTGGTGCTGAGGCAAGAGATGGAGGCTGCTGCACAGGGTCATTTGGGAAGGCTGGTCCACAGCAGTGGCAGTGCTATAAACTGTCTTCATGCTGATATGATTAGTGGAGCCACTGCTGTACTGGAGCATTGGAAGGGGCAAAGTCCCATGGGAGTAGCCAAACCCTGCTGTAGGCAGTGCTTTGTAAGCAGAGGATGCAGAGAGGAGATAAAACTGCAGGGCCAGGTAGGAGGATGATGCTAAGGGGTCTATTTAATGCCTTTGCCTTCCTGCTGGCTTCTGTGGATATGGCCTTTGTGTGGCACCAGACCCCTCTGCAGCCCATTGCCTCCATCCCATGGGGTGGCCAGGGCTTGGTGTTGTGCTGCTTGGGATGAGCAGGAGCAGGGTTTGGGGTCGGTGCTGTGGTGTGAGCGCCTGCAGAGTGTGCTGTGGTTTCAGGGATGCTGCAAGGACCCGCAGCCCCTGTCAAGTGCTGGGAACAGGAGGATTTAATGGGTTTTCCATGAGAACTCCCCACATGATGCCATGGAGGAGGGATGGTGGGGAGCCACAGCTGGGCTCTGCTGCCTGCACTGTGCCTGGGGGTTTGGGGGCTCTGCTTTGGGGAAAACTTGGGGTGCTAAACCCTGGTTGAAGTGGTAATGCTGGGATGGGAAGCATAGAAATGTCAGGGCTGGTGGGCAGATCCATGTGTTAATGCTGCATGTGCTGCCATAGTCCCTGTGTGCTGGTGACAGTGCAGCACAACCGTGCTGTGAATAGGGAAGAATGCGGCTGGGATGCAGAGAACACAATGTACCTCTCCTGGCCTGCTCAAAGGGAAGGGTAAAGGCAGTTTGACAGCTCCTTAGGCAGGGAGATGGCTGCAGGAACAGCTGAGGAGCCCCATAAATGCTTTGCACTGATTCCACCACAGTGAGTGATGGGGACTGAGGGAGGGGGAAGGACATGGGAGCAGATTTAGCAAATGATTTCACCACTGGTTAAGTTTCCTTTGCTCTAAAACAGTGCAGAATTTGGGGGAAGAAGCGCAAGTCCGACACAGAACAAATCCCACACCCAGCTGTGGCTGGGCACTGGGGGGAAGGAGCTTGCAAAGTCATTGGTGATGCAAAGCTGTGCCAGGAAAACATGGGACAGGGCATGGTAAATCCCACCTCATACACACGCCTGAAAGAGAAATCTCTTTCCCCCCGTCTAATCCATTACCACATGCTTATTCCTATAACAAATAACTGAGTCAGCAGGAGAAAACCAAATTCAATTTATATCTCAATCCAAGCAAATATGAAAAGGCTGCCAAATCTGACAATAAAACTGCAATGATCTCAGATGTTTCCCTCCTATATATTAAGAGAAAGGGGATCAGAGAAGCTTTTGGCCTTGTAGTAGTAGGTGGGGATGCAGGGGGATTATGCTTTGGAGCTGTGTCCTTAGGTGGTGAGCACAGATTTGCTCCAAGTAGTACCAGCCAGATGTGCTGGTACAGATGTGACTTTACAGCTATAGACCATGGGCACAGGGGTTGCTCTCTAAAGTTTGTCAAGTTTCAATGAGAGCAGAGCTGTGCAGCACAGAGCCCTGTGTTGGGGATGCTCTTTCCCAGACGGGGTGGCGGGCAGCACATTGCTTGTGCCTTGGGGGGGCCCATTTTTGCATTGCCCAATGTGTGATAA